GCAAGGAAAGCCTGCCCGGCACGGGACAGGCAAGGGGCGAGTCCTGCAGTAAGGTAGGCAACCGTAAGAGAGGGCCAGAGAAAAGGATGCGCAGAGAGAGGGGGCGCGCACCGGGTAGGCAGAAGACACAGTCGGATGAGGAGGATTCGCATAGACGAGGCGTAACAACGGCGAAGGAGGTCGCCGCTTCTGTGGAGAAGCAGAGGCTGGGTGGAGGCGAAGGTGAATGGCAAAGTAGCGACGAGCGAAGTTACCTGTGGCACGAGCCGAACTAGAGGCAACGCGGCGGAGTCTTGGGAACGAGGTAGAGAATATGAATGGTAGGTAAGAGAGTCGGCATGAGGCTGGAGGCTTACGTTTTCTGCTGTCGATGACTGCATTAGGTTATTTTCGTACTCTCTACTCGATTGCCGTGCGAGCGGCCCACCCGCCCTCCCACTAACAGCCAAATGGCTGATCGGAATTGTCTTTGAAGGGTTTGGGTACCGCGGGAGTGTGGTCGCAGACGCAATGGCCTTCCCCACAATAAGTTAGTAGTGAGTACGGATCACGCGATGACGTTTAAGCAATAGGGTGCAAATAATACAGCCGTACTTTAGTCGTACATTTACGTCATACATCATCTATCATCTAAGGTCTCCAGGCGGGGGGTTGGCTGAGGACCGCTGCCGCCATTTTACCACTGTACCAACTCCAGCACCCCTGCCAGCTCAGCTCAGGTTTATTTAGAGCCATGTACACGTACGTAACAGTACACATTATGTACCAGGCCGTAGTACGGCCTCTATCTGCTAGGTCGACCGTTAATCTACCGGGCCCATGTCCCCGTCTAGCATGCAATTTATTTTTCAACGACTTTTCAACGACTTTTCAATGCCCCAAAACAAATACCAACCCCAGGCCGTTTTGGATTACATCAACTCCAGCCTCACTTGCGAGCTGCCTCCAGCTCCGGAACCGTCCAAGTGTCCTGGGTCTGGCTGTAGCGGCAACGGTTTGTGCCTGGCGAATGGCAGGTGCATGTGCTACAGCGGCTTTAGCGGTGCGGACTGCAGCAACATCACGTATGTGGAAGTGTACAACTGCGGATACAAGTAAGGACACTACGAAGAGCAAAGAGCGAAGTGCTATTATAATACATATACATATAATACAGTGATATATTAGATACAATATATATAGGGAATTATTTATAATAATCATATATGCAATGCATGCGTGTATGTATGTTGAAAGGTTGTTTGGACCTTGTCATATGCATGTGAAGTACAGCGCCGTACATACCGCGCGGTGGCTTGTCACACATTGAGAGAGATATGTATACACGCGCACATTCAGTAGACAGAACTGTTGGGCCTCTGTGCACAGCTACGTGAATAAATAGCAATTGCAGATGGAACATATTTTTTCTTTTTAGCTTTATAAAGTTAATGTATAAAACTAATTAATTTAACACTGTCAGTGGCCAGACGGTCCCCCTCCTGTTACCTCTTTCAACTTCCTGTCAGTTGTTGTTGCTGGCCGCTACTCGACCTTCAGCACTCGACCTACACCGTTCCAGTCCCTCGTTATTAGTGGCCACTTTTTTCCCTCTTCCCCCCTCCCCCCTCCCCCTCCTCCCCTCCCTCCTCCCTCCTCCCTCGTCCGTGCCTTCCTCGTATCTGCCACACTGCCATATCCTGTCATCCTGGCAAAACCTCGCTCGCCTTCCGTCCTCCGCACATACATACAGGTGTACCTTCGATCAGGGCTGGTGTAATGTGACCACCATCAAGAAGAAGACCCGCACCTGGTCCTGCACCTGCAAGCCCAACATCACCGGACTCACGTGCAGCATCAACTCATGCCCCAACGGCTGTAGTTGGAATGGTGCGAGGGAGGTGGCTGTGTCTCTTGTGTATGTGGGGGTGGGGTGAGGTGGGGTGGGGCGGGGGTTGGGTTGGGTGGGGGGGCAGTGGGATTGGGATGGAAGCACTCAATGAGCGTGCGTGTGTATGTCAAGAGCAATGTCGGGGCAAATCCTTTCAGAACTGAGCCGTCCCGGACGATGCTGTGGACTTGTGTGGCTGGCGTGAACGTGTGTGGACTTGTGTAAAGGTGTGATGGTGGAGTGTTAGGAGTCATTGCGCCTGGATGATGTAGAGGCTCACAAAACCATCAACATAACCTTACTAAATAAGTAAATGAAATTCTTAGAAGAAAATAAACCAAATAATAAAATTAAATAAATATAAATAAAAGCCTACCTTTACAAACGAATAATAAAGGCCAGACAGGGAAGAAACAGACGAACCCCACAAAGCACAAACGCCTCCAAATTGGCAAATGGCGCGCTGCATTCCTCACTATGTGTTTATTTATATATCTGCATATGATTTGTACATGTACTTCAGGCGAGTGTCTGGATCAGGGCATCTGCGCCTGTTACCCGGGCTTCAAGGGCGCGGATTGCAGCGTAGACTGCGGCTGCGGAAGCCACGGCCGCTGCGCTGAAAACGGCACCTCGTGCATCTGCGACGTGGGGTGGAGACTGGGGGCCAGCGGCAAGTGCGAGTGGGATTGCGGGTAAGCCGGATGTGGAGTCTCCTAGAGGAGGAGATCACCGGGGGGGCCCTGGTGGGTCGGGGCAAGTGGAATGAAGCGGTGGAATCGTCATGCCAAGCAACGCTTGCAGGAATGTCGTAAGCCGTGTAGAAAGGTTCTTTCTACGGTTTGCTGGTTAGGAAGTGTGTTAGTTGATAACGGCCTGCTGCGCAGCAGGCTCCACAACATGTTCATGATGACTTACATGATAACGACGTCGTCACATGCGTCGTGACCTATCTGTGTGTATGTGTGTTTGTATGTACGTCGTCGCAGAGGCTGTCCTGCCGGTACATCCTGCATAGGACCCGGCGAATGCGGCTATACGGAACAGTGCGTGTACGGCACCTGCTTTCATGGCGCCTGCCGCTGCTGGGCGGGGTACGGCGGCCCCGCCTGCAACCTTACTGAGGTGGCTGCGGCGGCTGCCGGCTATGACTATGTGCCGCGACTGAACAGTCGGTCACTGGCGGGCGCAAACCTACCTGGGACGTCGTACTACAGTACGGAATGGATGTGGATTGACTTGATGAAGAGCAGCAGCATCTGGATGACCGCGAATGCAGATGACACGTGAGTCTATTCACCTCATGTGGGTTTAGCGGTTGACTACCTGGGTGGGTGGACGGAGCGGGTAGGGAGTTGGTTGGGGAGCGGTTTAGTTGGTTGGGGCGATTTATCTTTTTCAGCCTCTGGGGGACAATGCCCCTAAGGACGGCACCCGGGGCAAAAGCGGGTATTAGTCCTTTGTGTTTCTTCCATGTCTTAAATTTAGCGGGAATAATCAAGCAACTTGTGCTTGTATTTGTGCGTATTAGTGTGTGTGTGTGTGTGTGTGTGCCAGTGTCCTCTATTCTACCGCGCGTCCACTCTCAGAGGGCTGCTTATGTCTTGTTCAACATTTCCATCCCCTCTTAATGTGTATTTTATATGTACATAAATCTACATGAAATGTTTTTATGCAAAATATATATCAAAAAATGCATCAAAAAAGAATAAATAAAGAATGGATATAGTTAGTGCTGTTGCAGTAAATCCAAAAGCATTGTCCGCATGTAAATGGACAAAGGCAATATATTTTGCCTCTTTACGCAGGTCCTTAGAGAATAAGTGGGACACGGGGGTTCCCCTGGAGCTCAGGCCCGACGGCTACCCGGCCCGCCTGCCGCCCGGCACCGTCGCACACAAACTGTTTCAGCGAAACATGCTCCTGCATGCCTGGCCTGGACGCTACGTCGTACTGTACGACGGCGACGGCCGACTGGACTTTAAATTTGATGCCCGCGTCACGAGCAGGTACGTGTGTGCATAAATGCTATACCGCATATATCGATAATAGAGGAAGGGTGGGTAGTACGGAAAGTCTTTTTCGGGGTTTAGCTTTTCTTTTGTAATTGGGGGCTAGTGGGGGCTCTAGTAAGGGCATCGTCGTGGGTCTGGTTTCGGAGCGTGGGTTGAAATGTGGCCGAGTTCGCTGATAGACAGCTGGTACGTACATGCTAAGTAATTACTTACAAGTCCTTGGCATGGAGTCAGCCAGCCAGCCAGCCAGGCGTATCATTAATTAAACGACCTCAGATAGATTCAAAGGAGGATCTAAACGAAAAACGAGCATTCAAAAAGAATCATTCAAAATTGTAAACAATTGCATTTGTGTTGTCCTGCCGGGTCTTCCCTTTGTTTTGCATTGGTTGCATTTGCAGGGCCAAGGGGCGTGTTGAGTTCATCTTCAATCCCACAGCCAACCTGGATTGCGCCGCCACGGGCGCCGCTTACTGCGGTGACAATGGCATTCACCTGGTCCTCACCGCCACCAACCCCGCCAACCCGTTGAGGAACATCCGCATCTTGCCTTCGGGTGAGGGCGCGGCCGCGACTGCGGGTGGTGCCGGAGCGGGAGGCGCGTGGGAGAGCCGCGCGGAGCGGGCGCCCTTCCACCCCTGGTTCCTAAAGGTCAGTCGGTTTGTTCGTACAATGGTACGAAGAAAGGCAGTTTGTTCGTACGGTAGTGTAGTATGTATGTTGTTACAGGGTGGTTAACTTCGCCAGCGGCCCCCTTTCCCGGGGCAGTCCCTGCTCTCCCCTGCTAGAGGGGCACCCTAATCCGTCACCCCATCCGACTTCAGAATGTATTCGTTGGGTTCGGCAACTCACCACCAGCATCCAACCAAATCTAGCGGATCAACGGCGCATCAACTTAGTTCCTGGTCAGCTCGCAAGTTGATATTATCACGTCCTACACCGTCCATGTGATGGGGGGCCACCTCCCATTTCAACACTCCTCAAACACCCGAGGAGACGGCAGGCGGATTTGAACCCGGGTCGGCCGGGAGCAGAAGTCAGGCCTTAACCTCTGCCAGCCGCCAGCCGCCAGCCGCCAGCCGCCAGCCGCCAGCCGCCAGCCGCCAGCCGCCAGCCGCCAGCCGCCAGCCGCCAGCCGCCAGCCGCCAGCCGCCAGCCGCCTGCCTATATAGCATGCATGTGGGGTGTGGGGTGGGGTAGCGGGCATATGTACACATCCGTACTCCTCTCTCGCGCGCGCGTGCATGCACCCCTCCTTGATGCCCTCTTACCTTCCTGCCGACCTTGCCCTCCTGCCGACGTCGGTGGTGCAGAGCATTGCGCGTTACCGTGTGCTTCGCTTCATGGGTTGGCTGGACATCAACAATGATGTGGCCTGGGCGGCTGTGGTGGCGGGCAACACCACGGGATGGGCTGCGAGGAGAAAACCGAATGCCGACACGCAGGCAAGCGGATGGGCGAATAGGCGAATATATTTACATACTTACAGACAGACATACTTGACTGTGTATATATGTATGTATGTATGTCGTGTTCGCTGTGCATGTGTACGGCTCTATCCTTAGGGTGTTATGGATCTCTGCCCCTGACGTGGTACCTCAATCTGGCCTCGCTCGTGATCACACCCCACCCCGCATGTTATCGCCCATTCCCTGCGTCCTCCTACAGTTCATGTTGCCCACGCGCTGCATCGTTTCACGGTCCATGTCGAACACCTGTTTCCCCCTATGCCCCCCCCGCCAACACACTCACCATGATCAACCCAAACACATGCACAATGGCCCAGGCAAGTTCTGGGGGCATTGCACTCGAGTACCTGGTTCGACTGTGTAACCTGCTGGGGACCGACCCGTGGGTCAATGTGCACCACCTGGCGGATGACGACTACGTCACCTCTTTGGCCACGATGCTGCGGGACTCGTTGCGGCCGGATGTGAAAGTCTACGTCGAGCACTCGAACGAGGTACGGCAACATGCACGGCACATGTACGGTGAAATGCGGTGTACGGGAAGATGGGATGTGCCGTACGCACTGTGAGAAGTGTACTAGAAACCTCCCTGGACTGTACCCGCTCTTGCCGCAATCGCAAAACAACTTTCTTATTCTTATCCTTACCAAACCCTTATATTAATTATAAAAACCTGATGGCTGGCGACAGGTTTGGAACCAGCTGTTCCCTCAAGGCAAATTTGCCCGCGCCCGTGGCCTGGCACTCAACCTCTCCACGGACGCCACAACTGCCGGCTACCGCTACCACGCGCTGCGTACCGCCCAGATTGCCACCATTTTCCGGAACGTGTTTTCCTCGGCGGAGGGCGGTGGTGCGGCAGGAGCTAGCCGCGTCAAGGTGGTGATGGGCGGCTGGGGCTATCTGTGCGGAGTCAATGGCTCCGGATGTGGCACAGTGGTGTTGAATCAGACACTGGGCTGGTTGGCGGGCCTCGCTCAGAAGGTCAACGAAAGCACCGTGCTGCAGGAACAGCTCAAGGTCAACATCTCCCTGGCAAAGGTAGCGCTACGGAACGTTTTGTATTTTGAATATCTGTATGGTCTTGTATGGGATTTGGGGGAAACGGTGCTGCTGATGATGGTGTTAGAGACGCACGCTTGCCGCTATCGTTTACGGGGGCATTTAGGCTTTTGGGGGCTGGTTTTTTGCATCAAAAATGGCGCATGTTTTACTAGATTTATTAGAGGCTTAGGTCTGTCTAACTTTCCGAGATCAAAAACGGATATTTTCCCTGTATGAGATCTCCTTCGTTATCACCGCCACCACCACCACCTCCTCCTCCACCTCCTCCTCCTCCACCTCCTCCTTCTTACCCTGCAGCCCGACTTCTATGGAATCACAGCTTACTGGGACTGCGGCCTGGGGCAGAACGGGGCCGTGGATGTCACCCTCACCGTCGAGCAAATGATCGCCAAATGCAACACAACTCTGAACGCAAGCGATGCCGCGGCTAAGGCGCTTGTCGCCGCGGCGGCGCCGTACGGCATACCATTGATCACGTACGAGGCCGGCCCGTCGATTGTCGAAGCATCCGCCATCGAAAGCGGCCGCATGACAACCGGCTTGGCGCCCAAATACGCGGCCGTAAACCGCCATCCGGCAATGTACGGCCTGTACAAGGCCTACCTTGACACATTTGTTCGTGCAGGACTGGTGGCCGAGGGCCGTCCGTTTATGCAGTTTGTCACAACGGGTACCTTTACGCAGTACGGCAGCTGGGGGCTGCAGGTATGTATGTCTGGACATGGCCCAGACATGGTTGGCGACTGTGTTTTGATTTTTTCGGTGTTGTTTCGATTGAGTGGCTCAAGGGAGGGATGAGATGGTGGCGTAGGTTCAGGTGGAGGAGGTACCTCGAGGTGAGGAAGAGAAGAACGCCGTGAACGCCGTCAGTGGTAGTCACTTGTTCACCTTGTGTCCGAAGAAGGGGTGGAGGCAGCGCGACTGTGCAGAGTGGACAGAGCAGCAGACTGGCAGAGTGGGGCGGGAGAGAACCAGGAAGGTCTTTGGATGCAGCAGCAGGAGGAACAGCAGTATGGGAGCGATGTAGGTGATGGGTTTTAGAGACGATGTTATTGTTTTACGGCAGTCCCCTGCAGCCACCCGGCGTGTGCGTGTGCGTGTGTGTGTGTATGTGTGTATGTGTGCGCTCACGTGTGCCATACCCACTTCCTTGTCTGCTTGCTAAACAGTGAACACCGCCCCACAAGCTCCTGTTTCCCTTTCCCCTCTTTCTCCCCCACCCATACACACGCACACACGCACACACGCACACACGGCCAGGAGTACACGGGTCAACCGGTATTAGAGGCGCCCAAGTACCGGGCACTGATGGACTGGCTGGACATGCAGGTGGGGCGGTTGAGAGGCTGTGGCGGTGGCAAGGTGATCAAAAAGGTGATATTGATAGGTGGTTCCATTAACCCTTAACCCGTAACCCCCCATGGCGGCTTAAGCCGGAACCTTCCTCTCTCTTCTCGACCCCACCAATTGCCAGGACTCCCTTCCTCTTTTGCCCCGCCCTCCTCCCCTCCCCTTTCCTATGCTGTTGTGCCTTCTCCGTTTCTCTTCGCCATCCCCGCTTTCACACGCGTTGCTTTCCCTTAGCGGTGGTTTGGCGGGTTTTTTACTCCTTGTCCCTCCCCATGCTGCATCCTCCCGAAGCCGACCAACAGCTCCCAGGTCAACATCTCCCAGGTCAACATCTCCGCCTCCAGCACCTTGCGGCGGCCGTTGTGCATGTCGCTGCCGGCGCTGGGGGTGTCTGGCAGTGGGGGTGGCGGCGGGATGGGGCTGGGCGAGGGGCTGCTGGCAGGGCCGCCCGCGGTGTACTGGCCCGCAGCGGGGGGGGTGGCGGTGCTGGTAAGATCTGTTCAGGGGGGACACAGGAAGGGGCCAATTTGTTTTTTCCAATGGGCTAGCAGGTTGGGAGGGAAGAGGAAGGGAAAAGAGGGGAAGTGGGTAAGGAAAAAAGGATTTGGGGTTGTCGCCGTAGATGGGCGTAGCATAATCCGGATATCCCCGACAAAAAACTCCCCGCGGCCCCCGGGTGTACCTGAGGCGGGTAACACCCACAAACACACACAAAGCCAGCAACCAACCGTCTCAAACCAACCCATCCCTCGCCCTCCTCCTCCTCCTCCTCGCCCTCCTCCTCCTCCTCCTCGCCCTCCTCCTCCTCGTCATCAGGGCACCACGGAGCGCATCCGCTGGTCCACTGTGGGCTGGGCTGCCGGGGTCGTTCCAGCTGCCTTTGAAATCACTCTATGGTGAGCGAGCGAGGAGTGTCACGACCTGATTGGGGTCAACGGCGACGGCAATCCCTTGGATTTGCCATTGGACTCTAAAAGTTATGAATTCTTTTGTCAATACTCCGTAGTAAGTTTTCATATGTATGTTTATATCTTTATGCATTTTTGCGGCTGCAGGTACGAATCCGACTGCGAGGTCTTTTCCCCCACCAATAGCACCACCCAGCTCGCCGTGCAGCGGAAGAACAGCTCCCAGGCGGTGGCGGTCCTGCCTCGGCCCACCGTCCCTGGAGCACTGGACGTGCAAGTCCCCCGACCGGCGGAGGACCCGAAGGTATGGTACTGGGTGACAGTTGCAATGGCGGCGAATGAGCGGGCGGGACGTCGCGTGCCGCGGTTTTTCCTACGCTTCAGCGACGGCTTAACTACCAACTACTCGGAGCCCTTTGATATGACGCCTGGCGTGCAGTACGTTGTTGGTAAGGAAGGCAGGGGCGGGAACAGGGGGAAGACTGGCAGCTTGTGTATACATGTACATGTACATATACATATATATAAAAATATACATATACATATACATACACATACATGTACACATATACATGTACATAGTGGGGAAGGCAGGGTCTGCCGAGTAGCGGCCGCAGGGTGAAGATATGACCCCCCTGTCTCACACATCATATTTACATGTAAATGTACATGTACATATGTATATACATACATGTATATGTATATGATGACAGACTGCCCCCGCTTTTCCAACAAGTATGTACTCAACTGTACGACTTACCGCCGCAATGTCGGGACTTCCTGTCGTAGAGGATGAGCCCGCCAGTCTCGACTGACACGATGTGCTTATTCCCGCAACCCCCCGAACCCTTTTTCTTTTCGTACATGCAATCAGTCCTCACATATTCTCTTCGGTCCCTGGTACCCTCTTCCCCCCCCACACACGTCCTAATAAGGCAACTGGAGCGAGTGCGAATGCAGCATCGCCGCCGGGTCTGTCAGCACGCAGCGCCGCAACGTCTCCTGTGGCGCCCTCCCTGGACTCGAGGCCGTGGTGGATAGCATGCTGCTAGCCTCTGCCGCAGCTAATGCTACAGCAGCAGCAGCAGCAGCAACCCGACCCGCTCCCCCCGCTCCGCAGCCTTTCTGTGACGCCTTTCCCAACTGGAACCTCAGCCGTTCAACCATCGACCCCTCTTGCACTATCGACGCAATCACCGGCTGTCGTACTTACCGTACAAACAACACCGGCGGCTGGGCGTATTCGATGTTCAAGCCCGTCACGGACTGTACGGCTCAGGCTAGCCCCTGGCCTCTGCCGCCGCCTGCGGCCGTCGGCGGCTTTGGCGGCAGCGGCAACAATACGACGGCGCTGGCGCAAACTAATGCGTCCATGCTATCGCCGCCGGGCCAAACTCTTACCACCAAAACTTACAACCTGAGCTTATGCGCGGCGTTGCTGGCGGCAGTGCCCCCAGCCGCTAACCGTTCCTGCAACTGCACCTCTGCTTCATCGTCACCGCGTCCATCACCAACGGCCTCGCCAAGCGGAGCGCCGCCGTCGCCTTCGCCTCCGCCTCCGCCGCCAGCAGTGCCGTACTGCAGTCGTGCAAGTACGAATGCGTCTCTGACGCTGCTCAATGCCGGCGCCGCGACGTGCTCCATCTCCTCCTCGGACGCGGACCAGTGTGGGAGTGATAGCGTTTGTACGGCAGTGCCGGGTTGCAAGCGTTACGTGTGCGACACAGTGGTGCAGGCACTGGTGCAGGTGCGTGTGTGTGTGTGGGGGGGGGAGACATGTACCGCCTGGTGTAGAAGAACGACCTTGTCGTCAACATCTCGGCGGTCGTTACGTGCCCTGAGGAAACGCACCGTGCTAGGTTCTTCCCTAGTAGTAGGTTATTCGTAAAGGACTTTTCACATACAGACATACTAAACCATACCTAGACACAAAGATACGCGGGAACCTCACTTTTTTGCCCTGGGGCCTTCATCATTTTGACCTACCCATGAGTCACTCGAGGGTAACAAATGCCCAAGGCTGGGATGCCGCCGGTCTCACCCTCCCTCCCTCTCCCTCTCTCTTTCTCTCTCTCTCTCTCTCTCTCTCTCTTTCTGTTCGCACAGGTGGCTTGTACGGCGCTGTGTCAGCCGCGCACGCTGGGGGTCACCGGAGCACAGATTTCAGATGATGGGCGTGCCGTGGTGGTGCGGCTTACTGCCGTACCTGCGCCGCTGACGCTGGTGCCCTGTACGGCGGTGTTTGAGGCGGCCTCGGGTGCGCTGCTGGGCGGCGGCGGGGCGCTGTGCAGCACCGGCACGGCGGGGTCAGCCTCCTCTGAAGACAATGTCTTGGTCGTCAAGCTGGCGGCGAACGCGACTCTCCTGGTAAGCAGGTCTTTGTAAGTTGTCCAGTAAGGGTTTTAGGGTTTGTCAATTGCGCGTACGCCACGCGGTGCATACGTATGTATGTGTGTAGATAGGTAGCTATGTTGGTATGTAGGTTGATATGCTAGGTATATAATGATCCGAGCACGTCACTAGTCAGGGCCAGCTTTCCTAATCCCAATTATGTTTTTCAGCGGTGGGGCCCGAATCTATATCTTCCCGTTAATGCTATATGTCAACTCTGGGCTTCGAACTTCAATCTGCTAAGTACTAGCCATAGTGCGATGTGTTTGTTTTGTATATTGTCGATGGAGGCGATGCAGACTTGTTGGGATTATTAAGTGACGATACACGAGACCCTGCTATACGGTTGTTTTGGGTGTTATTGATGTCGGAATGTTGCAACTGCTGCTGCTGCTGTCCTTCTCCGTAATGTGGTTGTGGATTCCTGGCCAGGGCGGTGGTTAGTGAAGGGGGTGGTAATACGGTGAGTTCCATTTTCTTCTGCTTCCTGTTCTCCTTCTGGACGCGAAGAGGACTTATGTTCAACGCGGAAAATCGCTTTATTTGTCCGCCGCCGCCGTCCTCCTCATCATCATCATTGTCCTCGTCATTATCCGCGTCCTCGTGTTATCCCCGCCGACCGCAGGCGGGCCAAACCCTGACCCTCCTGACCCGTGGGTCGGTGCTGGTGGGCGCCATTAACACATCCCGTGTGTTCACAGGCAGCGCTCAGGTATGACATGAGAAATGAGTCATAGTACCAAACAGTGGAAGAAGATAACAATGATAAAGTCGTCGTACGCATCCTGCTCATCCGTACTCCACCTCGAGCTCTGTACCGTCGCCTTGACAACCTTCCTTTTCTTCCGTGCGTGTGCACTGCCGCATTCGTACTTGTACGACCGTGTATTGAGTTAATAATGTGTTTTCGACGGCGGGCTCTGCGATGCTTCTCTCTTAACGTGGGGAAATTATTTGACTTGAAACAATTCGATGAGGGTTACCTACCGGTGTAGGATGGCCGCAGAGACAGTGAACATGCGCGCAGAGGACTGCCCAGGGAGGTGGTGCTCTACCTGGCCAGATTGCATCGGTCTGACATGCATGCATGCATGCGCGCTGCTATTACTGCTATTACTGCTATTACTGCTATTACTGCTATTACTGCTATTACTGCTATTACTGCTATTACTGCTATTACTGCTATTACTGCTATTACTGCTATTACTGCTATTACTGCTATTACTGCTATTACTGCTATTACTGCTATTACTGCTATTACTGCTATTACTGCTATTACTGCTATTACTGCTATGCTATTACTGCTATTACTGCTATTCCCGCTGCTGCTATTAATGTTGCTGTTACTGCTGCCTCTATTCCTGCTGCTGTTATTCCTGGTGCTGCTGTTGCTATACCTGCCCCTCCCAAACCCCCCGTCCCAACCCCCCCAGGTGTCCACGTGTTCCTCCTGCGCGGCCCCCACCGCGCAGCTCTCCGGGCCCCTCACTCTGTCCCGAACCGCCTGCGAGAGCGCCACGGGCTCCCTGCTGCCGACCTCGGTGCTCCGATCCGCCTCCACCTGGGACGCCTCCAACTCGGGGGACCCCTCGGGACGAGCCAACTGGGCGGGGGTGACGTGGACCCTCGTGTCGCCGTACGTGGCGCCGGGGGCTGGTACGGCAACTCGTGCTGTGGCGGCGTTGATGGGGGCGGTGGAGCGGGCGAACGGAAAGGGGAAGATGAGGTACGGCAGTGATGCGCGCATGGCATTTGTGTGGTGAGGGCGGTTTGTTTTTAGTTTGGAAGGCACCATCATCATCATCATCATCATCATCATCATCATCATCATCATCATATTCATCAACCTGGTACCCTTAGTTGCCATCGTGACCGTTATCATGACCGTTAAATTAACCGTTATCGCAACCGTTACCCTTCCTGATCCTCCACTCCTCCCCCAACCTCCCCAACTTCCCGCCACCTCAGCGACCGGCTCACTCTGACCCTCACCTCCACGGAAGTGGAGGCTCTGGAGGAAGGCATCACGTACAGCATCATGGTACGGATCTACGACTTTTGTGCAGTTTGTACGGCAACATCTTGCAAACCTGAACCTGAACTCTGCTGCTGAATTTAAATACACTAAAAATACAGGGCCGTACAATTGAAGCATGGGCATATGTACCCGTGCTGGCCGGCGCTCTGCCGAAAATAACAGCCCTCAGGAGGGAGGGGGAGGGGGAGGGGGAGGGGGAGGGGGGAGAATTCACAACAGGGGAAAGTTGTATTGCTGTCCTTTATTTTTCATGTAAATTCCATCATGCCCGTTTCCTCTTCGAACCCTGTTTTCTGTCCTCTCTTCCTTCCGCCTTCTGGGACCCCTTTGCTGCCACCGTGATGTCCTCCGCACGCACCCAACCGCACCCAACCGCATCCGCTACCCTACCACGTAAATTGTGATAGAAGTGATGATGTTAGTGTGTGTGTGCTACACCTCGTTGCCATGTGGACGAACTGCGCACAGGTGACGGTAACCTCCTGGCTGGGGACCTCCGCCTCCGCCAACGCCTCCTTCTCCGTAGTGGCCAGCAGCCCCACACCCCTGGTCGCCATCGCGGGGCCGGCGCTGCAAACCGCGCGCATCAGCTCCGGGCTGAGGTTATCTGCGGACGTGGTTGGCGGCGGCTGCAAGGGCCGCAGCCTGTCCTGGAACTGGACGTGCCCGAGCGGCTGTCCGGCGGGGCTGTCGCTGCCCGACTCGGGCAGGTCGGGCCAGCAGCTGGTATTGCCGAGGCCGCTTGGTTTGACACACGGACAGAACGTCAGTCTGAGAGTTACGGCATCGTACGGCGGAGGTACGGAAGGAGGAGTAATAGATGGAAGGATAAGGATAGTTAGTTGCTGGCCGCGGAAAAGACCTCTTGTGTCGAGGTGTGCTGGTTTATAAAGCGCGCGTCTATATTGGTGATACGTGTTTGCCGTACTGTACGACAATTTATATATACGACTACATGGAAAGGTTGAAAGAATTCCTCTCTGCTACCGAGATCTCTACCACTGAGAAGTTTTAGAAGGTCACCATTTAAGCGCTCTTTAAACCCCTACCCTAAACCTCCACCCTATAACCCCTCGTCCTCCCCCCCTCCCCAGGCGCCTCCGGGTCAGCCGACGTTGTCGTGGTGGCGGCGGGCTCCCCCCCCCTGGCCGTCCTGAAGGGCCCTGCGGGTGACGTACTGGACAACACCACACTGGTGCTCAACGCCACATCCTCCTCCGACCCGGACGTACCCAGCAGCAAATCCACTGAGACATTGCAGTACAGCTGGGAGTGCAGGCGAGCGGGGAAGGGGAAGGGGAGGGGGACGCGTTAACTAGGTTGCGTTGTGTATGGGGTTGGAGCTTTAAGGGCATCTAGAGCTCTAGCCTAGTAAACTAGACCCTATTTACAATATTAGACAATCTAACGGTTGCATGTATGGGCCCTGGGAGTGCCGTGATGTTGTGAAGGGGGAGGGGGAGGGGGGCCCAGGAAGGGGGTCGGTGTTGGGGCTGTGACCGGGGGGAGTGCAGGTGACGGGGGGTGCTCGGGGTAGGAGGGAGGGGCGTTAGGGGGGAGAGGTGAGCTAGTAGAGAAGCCGTCCCTTACCCTCATGCCCTTTCTCATGCATATGGCCCCTCCCCCTCCATTTCCTCCCCCACCACTTCCGCAGGCGTTCGGACCACCCCACGCCCTGCTTCACCTCCACCGAGCAGGGCGACCAGCTCACCCAGCCCGGCGTGTGGTCCATACCCCCCGGACTGCTCTCCACCGACATCTGGCACACCATCACCGTGACGGTGTACAAGCAGGTGCAGAGCGGGGCCTCGCCGCTCAATGCGACCGCCTCAGTGACCTTGCGGCCGAGGGCGGCGGGCAGCGGAAGTGCCTTCCCGCGGGGCAGTTTGACGCGGCAGTGCGCGGCGGCGGCGTGTGCGGCCCCGCACAGCACCGACCGGAATCTCACGGTGCGGTGGTTGGGGGGCATATGGGCGCTCTGTCCAGGGAGGGTTCGCCGTTGGGGGGAGGGGTGGAATCCGAGGTTTGGGGGGGAGGGAGGGAGGGGGGAGGGCGGGGGGGGGGAGGGGGGGAGGGAAGGGTATTGTTCATGTTTTCATTCCACTGCTATCAGGGTGCGCGTGCGTTTGTGCGTGTGTGGGGGGGGGCGTGCATGACCGCAGGTGCTGCTGCAGCTCGCCTCTCCGTACGACACCACTGCCGCCGCCGCCGCCATAACGGTCGCCTGGGACAGTCCGGAGGCCGCCGCCGTGTCCGAACTCACCGCCGTCACGTCGTCCGCCGCCGACAGCAGCGGCGGCGGCGGCGGCGGCGGCGGCCTCCCCGCCGGCGCGTTCCTACTCACCATACCAGCGGCGTTGCTGCCCGCTGCGCGGAGCAGCATCACCATCACGGCCAACATAACGCTCGCCGCCACTGGCGCCACCGGCACCGCGGCCGTGACGGTGCCGCTCAACAGCGCACCGTACTGCACATCCTCTTCAAGTGATCCCGGCCAGTGCTTGTCCCTCACCGTCCTTAATGACACGTTTCCAACGGCGGCGTTTACCATCCGCGCCAGCGGCTGGGCTGACGTCGGACAGGTCGACGGCAGCAGCCAGCAGCTCAAGTACGAGTTCGGTGTACGGCGGCCTGTCGTACTCGGCGGCGGCAGCGGCATCACGGTCAATCTTGTGCAGCAGCTGGGTACGGCAACGTCCGCGACGCTGGTGGGTCTGCCACAAGGCGCCGTACAGCTGTACGGCTGTGCTATTGACGTGGACGGCTCCCGTACATGCGGACTGGTAAATGTGACGGTGTCTCCCCCGGGCGACGGCTTCAACGCGACGGCGGCTTTGGCTTCTGTCAACGTCACAGACTTGCTACAAGTAGGTGATGGTGTGCTGATGGTGGTATGGTGATGATGATGATGAGGGGGATAATGACGGTAACGGTGAAATTGGTTTTTGGGAGGGCAAACTCTGTATCACGCAGCACAGAAGGGTGGAGGGGGTGTTAGTGGAGGGGGTGTTAGTGGAGGGGGGTTGGTGGAGGAGGGTTAGTGGAGGGGGGGTTAGTGGGGGGGTTAGTGGAGGGGGGTTAGTGGAGGGGTACGTACCGATGTGCACTGCCCTCTGATGCCCGGATGTGTACCCGGCGTCGCTGACTTGACTCCCTCCAACTGAAGTAACAACAACAGTAACAGAAACTGTCGTAACAGTAACAGAATCTGTCTTGCTAGGTGAGAGAACCCCTGAGACATACCCATATCTGGTCAGATGCAGATATACACATTGCCTTTCGTACATTGACATTGCATTGCGCGCAGGCCAACGACCAAAAGTCGTTGCTCCAAGCTGCCACTCAGATGGCGCAACTGGCGGCGGCGGCGACGGCGGCGGCGGCGGCGGCGGCGGCGAGCGGCGGCAACAGCTCCAGCAGCGGCGGCGGTGGCAGCGACAGCAGCGACGCAGCGGCAGCGGCCGCAGCGGTTTCGGAGCTGGTCGGCAATATGGGTGTGGCGCTTGTGTCGGCGATGTTGTCGGGCGGGGCACTCCAGGACGCGGAGCAGGTACGACGGTGAACGTGCTGACGGGCCTCCCCTTCCCCCTTCCCTCCATAACCCGTTGAATGTGTAGTTTGCAGTTGTGGTTGTGTTTGTGGTAGTTGAAGTGGTAGTGGTAGTTGTAGTGGTAGTTGCCAATGGATCCTTACAGGGCAATCCAGCCGTACGGTAAAAAAATGCTGTACGGAAGGGACAGACGAAGCCCTGAAAGGAGGGGACGGCACCCAATGGTGTGTCTTTATGTTCTCTACATTCTTCTCTAGACCTCTATGTTATTCGTTGTACTTCTTTGTAGTACAGATGGTTGGTTCACCACGATTTCAACCACGATACGGTTTGGGGGCATGCCGTGAATTGCGTCGTACGCAGGCCCCTCAGGCAATCGCCGCCATGGCCTCCCTCGCCTCCAGCGCCACCACCCTACCTGATAAGGCCCGGGACGCCTTCGTGCTCGCCGTCTGGTCCGCGACGGATGTTTTGGAAAGTAGCGGCAACTCCAGCAGCAGTAGCAGCAGCAGCATTACCACAAGTACGACGGCGCTGTACAGCTTCCTGTCGCAGCTTTGCCGGCTCCTAGGCGCCGCGCTTCCAACCACCGCAACCACCGCAACTACCAACGGAAACGCAACCGCCAATGTGACAAATGCCAGCGCCACTATTGTTGGTTCAAACGCCAGCGCTACGGTTTCAACAGCCGGCAGACGTGCATTGTTGGACTCACAGACAGACATACAGACAGCCGCGATGACGAGGCTCACGCAGCTACTGCAATCTGGGGACCGAATGGGAAACGCATTGGGCCTTCAGGCCGTACCGCGTGAGTCGTACCTGGCGGCGGGCGATAATGGAGTCTACGTGTCGGCGGCGGCGCTCCCGACGACGGCAGCCACCACCAGCACCGGCGCAGCGGCGGTGATTTCCGTACAGCTTCGTGCGGGACCCGACGCCGTGGCCGCGTCCGCCTCGGCGACTGGCAGCGGCGGCGCCGCCAGCGGCAGCAGCCGCCGGCGCCGGGTGCTTTCTGCGACGGCGGCGGCCGCAGACGGCGGTATTGTTGATGTCGTACAGGAAGATGGCGAGATTCTCTTATCCGTGGAAACCGCTGACGCTGACGTCATCTCTGGATCCTCCCGTACGGCAGACGGCCACCATTACCACGACTACCACAACAGCCGCTGGCGGCGACGGCTGTTCTCCACCGCCAATGACACCAATGTGGAGGCGCAAATGGTCCTGTCGGGTTCCGCCGCGGCGGCGGCGGCGGGTTACGGCATCGACCTGCAGTACGCGCCGTCTTCGGAGGCGACGCTCGTCACCGCGTTATCGTCCAGTCTGCCCGCCTACATCTCCATTCTCAGCGGCCTGGTGACGGTGACCTGGAACGAAGGCGCCGCCGCCGCCGCCGCCACGTCGTCGCCGCCCTCCCTGGACGGCACAACGAGCTACCTGACCCTCGCCATCCCGGCACCGGCCTACAACCCCCCCAACCCCATGGCCTGCCTGTCGTACGACGTCACTACGAACGGCGTGAGCGGCAGCCTTGGGGGACTGCTCTCTGCTGGCAACGTCACCGCCAGCGCTGCGGTGTACGACAGCTCAACTGGCCGACTGTCGTGCAACGTCACCGCGGTGGGCACGTACTTTGTCGCTCAGGCGGCGGCGGAGGTGACGGTGATGCTTGTGAATCCGGAAGCCGTCGCCTCCGTCCCTGCCGCGAAAGGCAACGGCGGCGGGGGGCGCAATGTGGGGGTGTTGGTGGGTGGCGTCATTGGCGGCGTGGTGGGGCTGGTGCTGGTGGCGGCGGCGGTCGTGGCGGTGGCGCTGGCGGTGGCTCGAAAGCGGAAGCGTGCCAGGGTTGCAGCCGGCGGTGCCGCCGCCGCCAGCAATGGCTCGCCTGTCCGTACCGCGTCCCGGTCCAACAGCGGCAGCAAGTCAGCGGCAGTACCGGAGGTGGCGGATACGGCGGCGACGGCGGCGGACGTGGCTCCTTCCCAGCGCCAGGCTGTCGCGGAGGGCTGGCTGGTGGAGGAGCAGCGGCCGCGGCAGCGGCGGGTATCGGCTGGTTTCGGTGCATTGAGCAGCAGTAGCGACAGCAGTCGCCGGGTGGTTCCTAGCGACGGAAGCGGCGGCGGCGGCGGCGGCGGCTGGGGCAATGACGGCGGCTGTACGGCGGGAAGGTCGCTAGGGAACGCGAGCACACGCGCGAACGCGGTCCTGTCCCGGCAGGAGAGCGCTCAGGGGTAGGAATACAACGGGGGTATCTCAGTGTAAGCAGGGAGCATCAGAACACGGCTTTGTGTGTATGTATCTGTCTGTCTGTATGTATGTTTGTACGTCACTGTGTGTTCCTCAACCCAGGAGGACATAGATTCATACACACAAAGCGATGTCCTTGAGAAGGACGCGAAACGTCGTGTTTTTGTTTGCGTCACGACTTTAGATCTTTCCTAAAGGAGGTTTGTGCGACAGAACGTTGGGTGGTTAATTAGATCGATAGATGTATTGGCGGATTCATACATGAGCGCGCGGATGTATGTTTTTGTCTGTCTGTCTGTCCGCGTGTGTTTGGAGGGAATCTGTGTCTGGATCATTAAAACGCGTCGCGAGGAGGTGACGCAGTTTTACGCAAGCCATATGTGTACATCTGTACGTCTGTACGTCTGTTTCTGCATTTGCAAGTCATCATCATTCATGGATGCGATTCATCCTGCTCTCTGGGGCCTTATATGTCCCCCCCCATTCTCATCTGCCCCTCGAGCCCCTCCGACCCGAAATACCCTCTAGCCCTATCCTTTCCTAATTAGGCGCTAACCCGACACTATTGCTACCCCATCCATTCACGGCACTACGGATGTACGGCACATTGATTGCGTGCCGTACGGCCATCCAAGGAGGATGGTACAAGCAATGGTGTCGTACGATGTCACTCAGTCCTGTGCACATAAACACAGCGCTGCCAACAACGGACTTGCTTCAGGGCTGAAAACGGTGTATCGGCGGTTGAGCGAGTTCGTTATTTTAAGGGTCAGCGGTTTTGTTATTTGAAGGGCGGAAAAGACGAGGGTAGATTGGGAGGGGGGGGGGAGGGCGGAAATAAAAGACACACGGACAGCGAATACACATGCCCACCACTAACCCCACGACCACCGTCCGCCATTAATTAAATGTGAGCTCAGGGTTTGGGGGAAAAGCTAAGGGTGATGGTAAGAGGTGAGGGGCCATGTTCCTGGATAAGGGGGGTAGTGATGGCTGTGGAGGACGCTACCCCCACCGCTGACTCCCGGAGGGAGGGGGAGGGGGAGGGGGGCTTTCGGTCCTATGAGCCTACTACTAGGAACGGAGGCTTTCCTCTCCCCTGCGAGCGCAGACTGGTGTGTGTCTGTGCCGGGGCCGCACAGGGGCCCTGATAATTATGTGTATGTGTGTGTGTGTGTGTGTGTGTGTGTGTTGTTGATGGAAACTGGCACCGCCGCGACAGGGAAACGCTGGGGATGTTAAGCATGTTTTTGTTTCCTCTGTCTGTGTGTCTGTCTGTCTGTTTGCACGGGCTGTACAGCAAAGGTTTACCGGGGGACGCGGGGGCAGTTGGGATTACCTGGCGCTGCTTGGATTGGACGAGCGCATGGACTGCAGTACGGCTCGTTCTTTTTTCTTGATCAGTTGCAGGTGGGTGTTGGCGGGTAGTGCTGTGTGTTTATTTAGTACTTGCTTTTTGAAGTAGGGGTCCCGTACTTGCGGGTTGTGAAGTACAACCCTGCGGAACATGACGCTTCCGTTTCATGTTGCTGCATGCTCATGGAAATTTGAATATGGAAATCAAAGATAGTAGTTGTATGTATGTATGTATGTATGTATTATGTATGTATGTATGTACGCACGTATGTACGTATAAAAGGAGATGAAGGGGCGGACGTCAAATACATAAATTCATGATTCTTCGTTCGCACGGGTACGCTTATGTCATATTTCCGTACATGCCACTGTATGCCATCGTGAGCCTTATCCCATTTGGCAGGGTTCGTACATCTCCGTATTGGTTCTCTCTAGCGTCTGTCACTATTACCATGATGCGAGGGGCGGCGCATGGCTCGCATTTATTGCTCCTGTGGCAATGTTCGCAGCTATTATGGGCATGTACTGCAGAAGCAATGGTCATCTTCATGCTATTTATCGGGATGATATTCATAATTTAGCACATACACACACACGGACACACACACACACACACGGACACGGACACAGCACAAACACATTGACACACGCGCACACACACCTGCACACAGGCGGCATTTCGTGGCCTCTATTTCGTGCGACGCTCACATGCCCCCTGCACAGTCGGGCGCGGACACCCACCCTGCACGTCGGCCCTTTTTGAACATCTGTCTGTCTGTCTGTCTGTCTAGGGTGATACGTATATCCTCACAGGATGTAAGTGCATTAGTGAATGGCATGAAGTGCATTAGTGAATAATAATTATTAATATAAACAGCGATGTTGGGCCCAAAGAATGGTAGAAATTGGGCCCCACCTCCTGATGCGCCAAGATGCGCCATCGCCTGTTGTATGTAAACGGTGTCAAGATTTGCACTACAGGACTACTTTAGTAATACTGGATTGCTGCGGTGGGCTGGACCGCACGGATGCGGCCATGTGAGGACGCATGTGAAAACGCGAAATGATGAAGGACTGATCATGTACATGTGTGGTCCAATTTTAATCACATTTCCTAATCCCACTCCCAACTCACTACCCCAGCCTCTCACACGCGGGCGTGTACATATAGATTGTGCTCCCATATATGTATGTATGTCCCTCGTCTCCCCAGTACGTACGGCACCGACATTCGGTAGGGAAAGGAGCAGAGCTCTGGAGGGTTCCTGAACCTATTCACAACCTTTCCACGAACCCTTTCACCATTACACAATAATCAGTACGGTGTCCCAATCGATATCACGGTTCAGCAGCAATAACAGCAGCAATAGCAGCAGCAGCAGCAATAGCAGCAGCAACAGTAGCCTTGCGTCCCCACGCAGCAAACTCTCCTCTAGCTCCTCCCTCGGCGGAGGCGCCCAACGGCTACGGTGCCTTTTTGAAGGGTTGTCCCTCTCCCGCTCCCTCTAGCTTGCACCTAGCCTAGATCTTGACCAAACTGGCCAACAACAACAAGCCAGCGACAAGAGATGTTTGGCCCACAGGGGGAACCCGAGGAGGGACCCAGGGAGCCATATGACCCACGGGTCGGACGTCATTTCTCAATCCGTGAGGTTATCGAAGAGGACGCATAAAAAGAGGCGTACCATATGACGTGACGGGTGTCGAAGTCGCACCGCAGGTGGAGGAGGCGGAGGCGGAGGGGGATGAACCGGTCCGGACACAGCCCCCCTCTTTACATCTACAAGACATACATACATACATACATACATACATACATACATACATACCACCCTGTAACAACATACATACATCATCGCCACTGCTATCATCGACCTAATATCCAAAGCGGCATCAGCTTTTTCCCTCTTAATGCTTTAATGTGTTTAATAACGTTTGCGGTTGCTGCGGTGGCGGTTGAGGCTGTTGTTGCTGTTGCTGCTGTTGTTGTTGTTGCTGTTGTGCAGCAGCAGCAGCTGCAACAGAGCTGCTCAACATCATCATGACCAGGTCCGTGTACGCCACCGCAGCGTGCGCACGGCCGTACGGTGTACTGCCGAGGCCGTACTTGTCGTATGCTGGCTTCACAGTCTCCAGCCTGCGTGTGCACATACATATATCTCATCCATCCGCACATAGATACAGATAGACAAACATACAGACATGCACTAACAGATTTGTGCTCGCGACCGGAGACCGGACGGCAACACAGAACTCGCGGGGCATTGCCGGTGACACCGCCAGCCGGCCAGCACCTCACACACGCCCAAACAATTCCAAGCCCCGCCCTCCCGACACACACCACGATACCCTTCCTCCACCACGTAAAACACCTTCCGACCGCCACCACCCCGCAAACGTCACCAGAACAAAACACACACGCACGCACGTGCACACCCTCTTCCCCCCTCCCCCTCCCTCCCCAACCCCATACAAACACTTACTGCAGTGTCTGCGACAAAGCACCAGCACCTCCTCCTCCTCCTGCTGGACCCTGACCCTCTTGTGTTGTTGTTGTGTTCGCCGCCGCCGCTGCTGCCACGATGGTGTTCATCAGCTGCTTCATGAGGTCCAACAGCTCCCCCAACATGCCCTCCGCCGAGCTCATACTGCTGACGGGCAGGTACTCCACCTCCAGGCAGTAACCCAGGAGCGCCTGTGAGCGGGGTTGGGGGCGGGGTTGGGGGTTGGGGGTGGGGGGTGGGGAGTGGGGTGGCGGGCAGTAGAGGTGCTTGCTGGTGTCATTTCCCTGTCCCCGATGCCTTGATGATCTGTGTTATGACAATATGTTGTAATAACATATCTGTGTTGAAATAATAGCACTACTGTCTTATTATCGTTGTCAAAAAACAGGTGCGCAAAGGGAGAGCCCCATCCCGTCCGCCCCAATAACCCTAAAACCCTAATTCCCCCTCACCCCCCGTCATCCGACCTGGGTAGAGTGAATGGCTTGAGTTGCCGTACACAGTCGGAGTACGAAGTCGCCCTTGGTGTAGGTGTGGCCCTTGGTAGGGGGGAGAGGGGTGGGGTGAGGCGGGGGAGAGAGGGGGGAGAAAACCCTGGGTTATATGTAACAAGGGAGAGGGGAGAGGAATGACGACGATACAGATTACAATACAGATTACAGATCACCACCCCCACCGACAATGACACGCACACACACACACATATACACACACAAGCACACACACATACATACACACACAACACTCCACCAACCGGCCACTCGCCACACAGCCGCCCCCACCTCCACTCGTACGGCCATCTGCTTGGCGAACTCTAGCTTTTTCTCCAACAGCCTCATGACCGCAGATTCGCACTCCAACACCTGAGCAGTGGTGAAGCAGGGAACCCCCCCCAACCCCACACATACACACACACACCGGTACGGCAGTCGAAGTGAGCCACCACCAGCCGGGACCACCAGGGGAAGTACGGGCGCGCGTGTGCGTATGAGTCCGCGTAACAGGTTACATGGGTGTGGTGGCGCTGTGTGGCGCTGTGTGTGTGGATGCACCGATACGTACGCTTGTGTCCATGGCGCATGCGTGCCGTGTGAAGGAGGTGTGCTAGGGGGGGGAAGGTGCCTGCCTGTGTGTATAGGTCCGCGTGTACACCTGTCCTTGTGCGGTTGTGCAGCCTAGACCTGCTAGACCCGACCCACATCGATGCTATACTTTCCCATGATGCCCATGTTCCCAAAAAAGCGACATCTTTTTCCAAGATGTCGAGCTTTGGGGGAAACCATAACGCCACGCGGGGAGAAGGGGTACATGTGGTGTGGTGTGTGTGGGGGGAGGAGCCGAAGGGGTTGGGGGGGAGGTAGGGGAGGATTTGAACCCGTGGTTTTAGCGGTTGGGTTTGGTTAGGCCATGGCAGTATTGCAAAGGAGAGGGGGGGGGTCGTGGTCGTGCTTCATACCTTGCATTCGGGCCGCTGCAATAAGAAGACCACATCGGGTGCGTCTCGAAACGTGACGGCCCAGGTATCTCTAAGGCCGCCGCCGCCACCAGCACCCGCAGTGGGCCCGCCCACAGTGCCAACCTGAGCAGGTGGAGAGGGCGCCAGGCGAGGTGTCAGGACAGGGAAGCTTGAAGAGTAAGGATGAGGAGAAGAATAAAAGGTAAGGTAACAAGGAGGTTAGGAATATGGAGCCGTCGCCATCAGAGCGTGGCCCTGCTCACCAGACCGTGGCCCTGCTTCATTAGCTGGCAGGTGACAGACCATGCCTCCGACCGGCCAGAGGGTTGCGATACGCAAAGCTCGTCAATCAGCCGCTTCAATAAGTCATAGGAGGTCGGCCCGGTAACACCTTTTGGCGGTACCGGCCGGATTAAGCTGCGCATACCATCGACATCAAGTAAAATCCGTGCGCGGTCGGATTTCGGCACATCCAGCGAGAATGTTTCCTTACAGTTTGACGCCCATTATAGAAGTAGTAATCTGCACTTAGGAAGTGAAAGAGAGACTTGCCACCAACCACCTTGTCGACCTAATCGTCCAGCCACATGCATATTGAGATAACATCAACTCTATTTGATGAAGTAAGGTGTGATGATATACAAGAATACTCAGCACAAGGCTTTATTAGTGAATGGCCACAAGATACAACAATCGTTTTAAAAGTACGTGCTATCCTTATGCTCTTCTTTCCTTTGAAGTGCCCCGATGTCGCAATTCTTTGACAGGAAGCTTTACTTTGCCAAAGCGTGCAACCTCTTCGTTCATCAATCAGGAGTCAATGCTGTACAACCGCTTTTACAATCGGGCAACCGTCTAGAATTTCATCGGTACATGCCACATGTACTTAGATGCCAAGATACATGCCACATGTACAATTCTCCTCCGCGCGGCTACTAACTTCATTGTCTCGAATCCGCAAAACATCTGCCAAACGTAGAATGAACATAGGTTTCTGAGTCATTTCATTTTATCATGCGTTCCATTTTAGGTGCAGCTCTCGTTGCCGCCGAATCCGCTGGCCTCTGCACTCATCCTTCTCTGCCGCTCCTTGGCCGTGGCGTGACCCAGCAACCACAGCCATGCTTGCATGACCTCGTACCAGAAGCATTCCGTCGCATACACGCATGCCTTCTATCCCGATTACCGGAGGCCTCCCTTCCAACAGCCTCCACTTTTCAAGCAAGCGCAGCACAGCAGCAGCCAAGGACCGCCTCTCAATCCCTTTCCTCCTTCTCCCCCTCCTCAGCCTTCTCCTCCTCCTCCAAGTCCGCCGATACCCAGCTCCCAGCCCCTGATGGCGACGGCCCTGATGGCAGTACGGCAGTTCAAGTGCCGCTAGTGCCGGGGACATGCTTCAGGCTTGCCGCCGGCAGGGCTGCCGTACATGTCGATCACGTGGGGGGATGGAGCGACGTGGCAACGCTGCAGGTGGGCGCGTGTCGGCGTATGTGTGTGTGGGCGGGTGTCGCCTGTTATGTGCATGCATGCATGCGTGGCTAGCTGGCTGTGGTTCCGGAGCTGTACGGCAGGTCGCTTCCCAGCCTGCAGCGGCGACTACCGATAACCCGGTAGGAGAGCCGTGCGGTGGCGATATGCCGCTGGTGGGCACGGACCGGGAGGTGCGGTCCGCCGCAGATGGATGTGTGGAGGACCGGGAGGTGCGGTCCGCCGCAGATAGATGTGTGGAGGACCGGGAGGTGCGGTCCGCCGCAGATAGATGTGTGGAGGACCGGGAGGTGCGGTCCGCCGCAGATAGATGTGTGGAGGACCGGGAGGTGCGGTCCGCCGCAGATAGATGTGTGGAGGACCGGGAGGTGCGGTCCGCCGCAGATAGATGTGTGGAGGACCGGGAGGTGCGGTCCGCCGCAGATAGATGTGTGGAGGACCGGGAGGTGCGGTCCGCCGCAGATAGATGTGTGGAGGACCGGGAGGTGCGGTCCGCCGCAGATAGATGTGTGGAGGACCGGGAGGTGCGGTCCGCCGCAGATAGATGTGTGGAGGACCGGGAGGTGCGGTCCGTCGCAGATAGATGTGTGGAGGACCGGGAGGTGCGGTCCGTCGCAGATAGATGTGTGGAGGACCGGGAGGTGCGGTCCGCCGCAGATAGATGTGTGGAGGACCGGGAGGTGCGGTCCGCCGCAGATAGATGTGTGGAGGACCGGGAGGTGCGGTCCGCCGCAGATAGATGTGTGGAGGACCGGGCCAGTCGGTGCATGCGGTCACAGGGCCGAGGATTACACCTTGAATATCTGTCGCCAACCTGTGTAGCCAAATTTGGCATGTTGTTCGTTGTTGTTGTTCGTTGTTTCAGCAGCAGTAGCTCTGGTCCTGGACCGCACTCTCCATCACACTCCACTCATCTCCGCCATCTCCCGCTCTCCATCCGTCATATCTAACATTCCACCCCCCTTTCCCCCTGTGCATACATACATACATACATACATACATACATACATACATACTTACATACTTACTTACTTACTTACTTACATACTTACATACTTACATACACCCAGGGTCAGCCAGCCGACGGTAGCCTCTGGACCGTGTTGGACCGCACTACTGCCACTGCCACTGCCACTGCCACTGGACCGCAGTCGGGGGGGCAATCCAGCTCGTTAGCGCCCGTACGTCAGGTGTACGGTAAGCATGACACTACGAGCTCAGCGTATAGCAGAAGGAAATTAGCCAGATATTTTTATCCACCATAATAGGGTGGTAGAGAGTATTAGTTATTTACTTATTGGGAGGGTTCGTAAGAGGACGCCGCCAGAATGCATGCTCTGGCCAAGTCCCAGCGTCCTCAGCCGATTCGCGAATCGGCTGTTTTGGGCCTAATGGATTTCCCGGAATGAAAAGCCCTCCCCGATATTCCCCGATATTTTTAAAACAGGTGGGGTGGGGTGGGTGGGTGGGTCTTTTTTCGGGTTGCGGCCGGGTCTTCCGGTCATCCGTTGGGTTCTGGTTGTTCGTTGTGGGTTGGTCATCAGTGTTGGTGCCAGCCCTGCAGGTGGCTGTGCTGGTGCTGGTGTTCATTACTGAAGTGTTTTTCACTGCTGCTGTTGCAGCGAATGCTATCACCGATACGCTGAATTGCTGACGCTTCTGCTGCTGCTGCTGCTGCTGCTGCTGATGGTGATGGTGATGATTACAGAAATCCGAAAACGAGAAGCAACAGGAGGAGACGTTGACGGCGGACGAGAGCTCGGCGGCGGCCGCGGCGGGGGCTACTGCGTCGCGGGAGACAGTGCTGCTACCACCAGCAGCAGTAGCAAGAGTAGCAGCAGCAGTATCACTGATAGCGGCTTGGGGATGAAGGGTAGTAGTAGTAGCAGCGGTAGCAGCGGCGGCGCCGGTCTGCTTCGCTTGTCCATCCCGGAGAAGTGGATCAGTCTGGACATCCGTACGACAGGTACGAACGAAGCAGCATATAGGGGCCTTATGAGCAAAAAGGAATTGCGAGGAGCTTGATCCAAAACGAACCACCGCCCTAACGAAAAACTGTCCAGAGAATACCGTCCTAACGACTTCCCGAACGACTATTGAGAACCAACTAACTTACCAACGACCGCACAACACAACTGTCAACCAACAGGTTGCCCTGTGTCCGTGTCCAAGATCGTGGAAGCCGACCTCCATGTCGCTACCTGCGGTGCACAAGTGACCCTTGGGTCGGTCCGGGCCTTAAAAGTGGAGCTCGACACGTCAGCAGCTGCCGGCAGCAGCAATAGCAGCGCAAGCAATACTAGCGGCTGTAGTGGTCTTGACGGCGCCGGTGGTGGCGGTCGCTCTGGCGCACGCGGGTCTATCACGGCAAGTACGACAATGCGGGAGGAGTACGGCAGGCGATGCCGTAGTTGCCGGCCGGGGGCCGGGGGGGTCCCTGGAAAAGCAGGCGGATTGAGGTCCCCTTGCCTAGAGACGGCCTCGCCGGTGTGTGTATGTATGTATGCATGTATGTATGTTGTGTGTGTGCTTACCGCATGGCCCGTGTTATCACCTGGTCTTGCGTGCTTCTACCGGCTAACTGGATCGGATGCATGCAGCCGCCGCCGCAGCAGCAGCCGTTGCACTACACCTACTGCTGCTGCCCCTGACGCTGCTGCTGCTGCTGCAGGGGGGGGAGGTCAGCGGGACGAGCGTCGCCGTCGTCGCAGCGGGATCCATACATGTACGGCGCCTCGTGGGCGGGGACATGCGGCTGGCGGCAAACGTCTTCGGATCGCGCACGACACCGCCTGCTCCGCCGGCGCCGGCAGCAGTAGCAGCAGCAGCAGCAGCGGGATCGGCACCGGCACCGCCGGTCTGTACGGCAGAGCCAGCGGCAACGTTGCCGTCGGCGGCGACAGGGGCGGCGGAAGGCCCCGCCAAGGCAGTGGTTGAACTAGGGGCAGTGTACGGCAGGAGGCTCCGAGTCCATACGGGTGAGGATGCGATCCGTGCGGTACCATGGGGAAACAGAAATTCCCGCGAACTAACGACTAACTGCCAACCAGGGTTCGACACTGACCTTCCTGAAACTTGCGGGCTCCCCCGTACCTCCCAAATTTTCCTTACGGAGGGGGCCCCGTACCAGGCTCCTGTACCGGCCGAAAACCTTACGGGGCCCCCCGTAACCCCCGCAAAACCTTTACGGGGGCGCTGTCCTTGGCTGAAACGCTGTGGAAAGTGACGCTTTGCATTTTTTTGCCCTGTAAATCGTTATTTTCGTTATTTTCTCGTGAACCATTACACTCGGGGACACGGCACACTCAGTGAAAGCCAAGCGCCTTGGCCGCCGCGGCCGCCCATCCCTTCTGCTCCTCTTTCTCGTCCTCCTCATCCTCGTCCTCCTCCTCATCATCAAAATCCTCAGGGTGTTACAGACCAGAAGTTATAAAAGTATCATGAAAAGTGTAGTTAAATATTGCAATATGAATTATGTCTGCCAAGTGTGTGGCCTTATCCTTTATATGGTCAAAGGGTACTACAACCTTGCATGGCAGTCGGCAATCGGTCCGTCCTCTCCCCTAGGGGGGACTTTACGGGCCCCATACGGCCTCTTATAAATCCTTAAAATCCTTACGGGTGCCCCCGTAACCGGCCTTCGGCCGGTCCGGGGGCGGTCCCGTACGAGGGCGCTTCGCGCCCCAAAATCCTTACGGGGGCCACTGTAAAGTCCTACGGGCCCTTACGGGGATACCGAAAAAAGGCCAAAAACTTACGGGCCCCGTACGGGGTGTCGAACCCTGCTGCCAACCGTAAGTTTCCGTTTCGCGTCCGTACAACAGGTGGGGGCGCAATCCGTATTGGCACGTTGGACTGCGGGACTGGGGGCGGTGACGGCGGTGGCAGCGCCGCCGCCGCCAATGTGCATGCTGCTGCTGATGAAGGCGGCGGTGGCAGCGACAGCAGCGCTGGGGGCGCCGAGATACTGTCGTACGGCGGTGCCGTAGTCCTGGAGGGGCTCGAGGGCGATGTGGTGGTGGACAGCGGCGGAGGGCCGATCAAGGTGAACTGATATGTACGACATGTACGACAGAAGGCTCTGATCCGTTGATAGTAACGTGTGTTCCGACCTCGCCGACAAAGTTTCCTCTCCCTCAACATCAACATAAGATATTACCGCCACACACATACATACATACATACATACATGCACACATACATACACACACTCCGCCTAATCTCCCTGCCGGCCGCATATTTCCGTTTTAGGCCATATATCCATCGGCAGATCAAAACCTCCTGTTAACTTCAGCCTGGCTTTGGCCGTGCCGTGTTCTCACCACAGGTATCCGCCCGCAATGCGGCAACCCAAGTCCCCACCCCCCCGGATGGGAACCAAAGGCGGTCCAAAACCCCCTCCCAAAACCCTTTAGCAGTTGGCGCTTTTAACGTCGGTTAGCAGTTAATTCGTTGTTAACTGAATAACAATTCTTGTTGGTTTCACACCAAAAATTCCCCACCCCAACCCCCCAAAAAGGAAAACTCTTTCCCCGCTGTGTGGGAATGTGGAGTAATTTTGTGTGATCGTGTGTGTGTCTGTCTTCGTGGGGTGTTTTGCTCGTCGTCCCAGGTGCTCGTCCAATCTTGCCTCCGTACAGCCTGGCTGGCCAGTGGCGGTGGCTCGGTGGATCTGGCTCTGTCCCCGGGAGTGGTTCTGGAGCGGGTGGATGTACGAGGGGCTGCGGAGGTGGTCGTACAACCGGGTAGGGTGGGGTGGGGTTTGTGCTTTGATGGTGGGGTGTCGTCCAGTGCTGTCTGATCGGGTTGTGAAGTGTCGTACCATATGTCGTATGTCATTTCCGATCATCTGGCGAGGGAAAGGCTGGGGGATTTACTGTGGGGGTTATTGGGGTTTCGGATTTCATAGGAAAGGAGGGCGAGGGGGAGGGAGGGGGGAGATAGGGGGGGAGGGAGGGAGGGAGGGAGGAGTTATCGCACATTAAAACAAAATGCCAATGATCCGCTGCTGACATCCCGGCTGTGCTAGCTGAGGGCAGGAGTGCATGTATCTCGCGGCGCGCATGAGCCGTACACTTAAATATGATATGTCGTACATCTGCCGTACCTTCAATTGGTTTGTGTCCTCCTCCCCAACCCTCCCACCAATCCTCCTGAGGCACACACGTCTGGTCGTGTCTGACTGGACCTGGTTGCAGATCTGCAACACTACCTAGAGCTACTGCCACCGCCTGAACCATCGGCAGTAGCAGCAGCTTCAACACGAGCAGCAGCAGTAGCAGCAGTAGTGGCACCGCCGGGAAACAACAGCATCTTGCCATCTTGTCATGGCTCTCCAAAGATGTCGTACGATGACAGCAACACCACCAGCGCCAGTAGTCACGGCAGCAGCAGTAGCTCCGCCAGCACCGGTACCGGCAGTAGCACCTCATCAGGCGTGTGGGCTGCCAGGATAATAGCTTCGCAGCCCGAGGGACGAAGGGTCGGGGGCAGGTACGACCGTGTACGGGCAATATAGCCAAGCAAAAGCAAGCATCAGGGAGCGAAATGAGGGAGCGGCTTAAGGCTGCCAGGGTTTGCTGTGGCTGCACTGGGGACTTGCAAGGCGTGTGTCCGTATGTGTGTCTGTATGTGTACATGTGTGTATATGTGCGTATCGTGTATGTATGTATGTATGTATGTATGTATGTATGTATGTATGTATGTATGTATATATGTATGTATATATGTATGTATGTGTGTGTATGTGCGCGTACGCTTGTGTGTATGTGTGTTCCGATCGCAAGCCAAACCGTTATTTATCATTATTATTATTATTATTATTATTAATTTACGATTATTACTATTTATTACTTAATCATACGTCCATATCCTATTTTATCAATTGTGTATTATGTTGCTTAAATATTTGCAGCTAGCAGCTGATGTCTGGGGCCGGAATGACAGGGGCCCCCCATGCCCCTCATGCAGAGGCGGCGAGCTGCGGAGCACGGGAGCGGTGGTGGTGGTGGAGGCGGGGGGTGGCGTTGTCAGTCTGCGGCGGTCGGGCTGGATGGACGTACTGAGGGCCAAGATGGCGGAGAGAGCAGCAGGCCAGCAGGGCAACAACACTACTAGCAGCGAAGGCAGCTTATAGCTGATGCGTCTGCTGATTCCGATAGTGTGGCAGTAGCAGTACTAGTTGCAGCAGTAGCGGAAGAAAGCAGCAGTAGCAGTAGCGGCAGCAGTGGGTTGGGTGGTAGTGGAGTGGTAGTGGTGTTAGGAGATGCAAAAGAGGGTCAGGTATCAGGGAAACGGGCGTGTGCATGGGACGAGTGCGGCCAGGGGGGAGGGTAGGTGGGGGAAAAAGGCGAACCACGAACGAGTGAAGCTGCTGCCAAGGAAAGAGTGCTGCGTGGGGGAGGGGAAAGGGTGTCTGGGTGGGATAGTAGGTAGGTGTGGGGCATCTTCATCCTATCCATGACGGCTAAAGGTAATGTCGAGTATGAGCTGGCCGGGGTGAGGGCTCTCTGGGGTCGCGGTGGAGTGTTTTTTGAATGGAGAGGGGAGATGGAGGTGTATGTGGTGAAGGACCGATTTTGTGTGATTCCGGAAGCTTCGTTGATCGGGCTCCAAGGCGGGGCGGCATCTGGGACGTAGTTGATCTGTGATGCGCGTTTGGGGCTCTATGAACGGTAATTGGTTGTTGGCTGTAGGCGCGCAGGGGAGTCAGGCGGTGGAAGTTTTTTCCCCCACAACAGGCTGTGTGGTTGTCAGTTCGAGTTTTCGAGTTCGCGCAGTCGTGAACAGGGGAAGCATTGAATGGGGGAAAGGGGGGATGATGGGGGGAAGCCGCGATACTGCGCAGAGTTCACAGGCCAATACGTGCGGCGATGCGCCATGCGGTGGTATGGTTACGATATCACGTTTGGGAGGGTGGGTTGTCTCTTCAGGGCCGCTGTCGAAGTTGCCGTCAGTGCGACCGACATTCGGGTGTTTGATCCGGTCATGGATGCGGTAGGATGGGGTTGCCTTGTGGTTTTCCCTTATTCATGTCGTGTGGCACGATTTTGGGAGTTCGTAAGGCCTAAACGAACCACCAGATTAGTGGACGTTACATGAATTCACTTGTTGCGTTGTCGCTGTAAGTCACGATGGCTTACACATGGAAGGGAACATGGAGTTCCGCATTGTAACGGCATCAAAGAGGAACATAGTTTCTGGCGAATTAGCGTTTAGCAATATAGTTGGACGACAGGATTTCATTGTGCTTGCGGAGATGTATTGATTTGGCCCCTGGATCGACTATTTTTGTCTTAAGCTCGTAACCCAAGCGAATGTGAACATTTTGCAAATAATTTGTGCATAACACGAGTACATACTACATGCAGGGAAAACTTTAAAGGTTACGGGCATTGTTGCACGAATTGCGGTTGGCCAGACTGCACGACGCAGGAAGTATGACTTGTCTTTGCATGCATCCTTGAAGATTTGTTAAATGGCACATTTAGGTGGGATGAAATGGACTGATAATTAGCATGGAACCTTACAGGCTCTCCTACACAAACTTTACCCTGGAATGTACCTTTGCATTGTTTCTCCAAGGCAGGTGGTGTTAATGGGTATCTTTTAGGGCCCTGAAATGTTGTAGTAGTTTCTTAGGGTAATTTTTGTCAGGCCTTTCCAAAGTATTTTGCGCCATGGTCGAGCCACTGAGCAACCCGGATCCTCTCGCTGGACATCCACATTATTCAAAAGTCAAGGACCTTGGCATAGGCAGGTCTTAGCTTCGCGCATAGCACCGGGATCACTTCGGGGACCCTTCGGTCAGGGTCCTTCTTGTCCACACCCCCAAAGTAATGCCTATGCTTTCCCGCGATTAGGAAGTTTTGGGAGCGTTGCGCTATATCAGCGGAAGGAGGGACGCGGCGAGCCATCGCTATGCGCTGTGAAGTTCATGCCAAGAAGTGGACCCGGCGTCGATGTGAATCTTATTCAGCGCGAGATTCAGAGCCACCGCGTGTTGCGCCATCCTCACGTTATTCGCTTCAAGCAGCTGGGCCTGACAAACACACACATCTTCATGTGTATGGAGTAAGTTTGTAACTCAGGTCCTGCTTACGTAATGCTTTTTGCGCTGACGAGGTACTCTCTTTTTCTGGCCCTACAGGTACGCCGATCAGGTTGGTGCTAAGAATGGCCGATAGAACAATGTCATGAACAGGGGGTATAAGAGTATGGGATGACCGCCTCCCGGCAACCAGGCATGGGAATGGGGCTTCAGGCATCAGGCGTAGCTTCGTGCAGCATGCGGGTGCCTACCAAAAATGTTTTAAACGTTTGAACCATGCAAAATTTTCGGAAACTTTGCGCTAAACATTTGTTCCCCCGCAAGCGCACCCTCTTCCTGCGTGAGGGAGCGCTGACCATCCTACGACTGAGGGAGCACGCCGCGCAGCAGTCATCTCCATGCCGAAATTTTTCTCCCCCTGTATCATTATGATGGTTTCGCGGCCGGAGGGCATGTGGGCTCCTAGATCCTTACGAACCTCCACACAGCTCAACCGAAACCGTGCTTGCCCTGTCTCCTCCTCTGCTATTCGGCCTTGGACTCAGGGGTCAACCGCGACAATGGCGGTCACAAGGCCACCGCGAACAAACTCCGTTGAAACAGATGGCGCTTGACATAGAACTGTCTGCCACATCAGGCTGCCACAGACCTGACCCTGGTTGCTGCTGCTGTCGCTATACGCTGCTGTACGTTGCAGGGTGATCTTTTGGGATTTCTGCGACGCAAGGGGCCGCTACCCGAGGCAGACGCGCGGTGGCTCTTCCAGCAGTGAGTCCCGCGTACCTCAAGGGGAGGCAAGGCATTTTCATTCTCTACATCTGCGACCACAGCTCCGGGGATGCGGCTTCCTGCTATCCAGAAGAACCCAGATTATCAATATAGCTGATCAAATGACCCAAATCAAATGACCCAATTCGATTTCCTGGCTTACCAAATAGCCGAATGTGAGCCAGGCAAGATGACCTAAATCGATTAAACTGAATTGAACGACCCAAATCGAATGACCCAGATCGAACGACTGAAATCGAATGACCCAGATCGAACGAACCCAATCGATTGACCAAATTGATTTGACCCAAATCGATTGACCTCAATCGAATGACTCGGATTAATCGAATGGACCAAATCGAGCAATACAAGGGGCCTAAGGATCCATCACATGCTCCTGTCGCCGCTGGCAACTGTGCTAACACACTGAGGCAGGGACAGCGCACGGCTAACAAACGTTGGCCTTCTCGATTTTCCCCTAGTAGAATTCCAAGCCCCTTGGGACTCGGGTATGTGCATATGCGCGATAGGTAGAAGGTAAGACCCCCTGAGGGGGAAGTATGGGAGACCCAGCCAACCACCAGCTGAGGAAGAAGGGAAGGGGATCGGGCCCCTCAGGTGAAGCACCCACGTGGTGGTGCACGTATGTATGTATGTATGTATGTATGTATGTATGCATGTACACACGCGTCCTCGAAATACTCCCACCCACACACGCATGTGGGGATTTCTTTCCCCACCGTTCCGATTCGGCGGCTGGCAGGTTCATTTTCGGTCTGGACTACTGCCATCTGAAGGGGGTGGTCAATCGAGATTTAAAGCCGGAGAACTTGCTGCTCAAGCTGACGCCGGAGGCTAGCAAGCGACACAGGTGAGAGGGTGAGAGGACGGTTTCGTGTCTTCTTCATGTACATGAGTGTGTGTTCGTTGGAGTCACCGACAGTGCGCCTGACCGGTGAGGTGTGCGCACTGGAAATGCAGCTGCGGCATGTGTGGTAGCGTATGGTGTGTGGTTGCGTAAGAGGAGGGTTGGTAAGGGTGGTAGGATGATGGCAGGTGAATGGATTGCGGTTTTGGTATTTATCCTGATCTCGTATATCCTTTCAATGCTCATCACAGCCATCGCCATCGTATTCACCATCCCCCCATCCTTTCCGACGTCAACATCTTTCCGCTATCATGCAGGCGCCACCAACTGCAGGAGCGGGAGCAGCAGCAGCGACTACTGGAGCAAATGCAACAGCTGCAGCTACAACAACAGCAGGAACAAGATGGCTCCGGCGGCGGTGGGGGCGGTGGGGGCAGCGGCGGCGGGGCCGGTGCAAAACCGCCCTCGCCGTTGCCGCAACTGCCGCCGCTGGGGCTCATAGAGCACCGTACCAGCAACACCTTCAACTTGCACATTAAGATTGCGGACTTTGGGCTGTCTAAGCGCGCCGCACATTCACTGCCCAAGACGCGCGTGGGGACGATAAACTATATGGCACCTGGTGCGTGGATTAAGGGGGAGGAGTGCGGGGGTGGGGGTCGGGGTTATGGAGTTGAGGGAAGAGGTGGGAGGTGGAGCCATGTCCTGTGCACCAAAGACAGTACGAATCTCCGCCGTACATCACATATACAGCTGGGGCCATGGTTCCAGGGAGGGGGCTCAGCTTGTTGCGGAAAACATGGAAATCAAATACTTGTCCGTGTTTGTTTTGCTAATTCACATGCTCCCTTTTTAGCCGCTTTAGCCTCCCGCCCCGCTCCCTTTCTCAACGCCGTTGCCACCGGCGGCTGCAGAGGTACTGCTGGCGGGACCTTCCCAGCGGTACGACGGTCACAAGGCCGACATCTGGTCAGCAGGCGTCGTACTGTACGCCATGCTATTCTCCCGCGTGCCGTTCGAGGTGATGCACGAGCCAGCTGCGGCCCAACAACAGCAAGGTCAACAAAAGCAACAGCAGCAGGCAGGGGCTGCACGCGACCGCGCCGCGACCATCCAGCGCATTTTGGAGGGTGACTGGGCGGTGCCGCCGGGTATGACCGTGACGCCCCAGTGCCTGCATCTGCTGACCCAGATGCTTGTTCCGGACCCAGCTCATAGGATCCCGATGGCCGCCATTATGGAACATCCCTGGTTCCGGAGCGGCCTGCCGCCGGCAGCGCTGACGATGAATACGGCACTTGTACGGCAGCAGACGGCGGCGGGGGCCGCGGCTGGCGACCAGACGGAAGCGGAAATTGATGAGATCCTGGAGGATTTGCGTGTTCAGGCGGCGGCGGACGCGGCGGACGCAGTGACGGCGGCGCTGGCGGCGTCGCACAGCCGTAGCAGCGACGGTGCGGCGGAGGAGCGGCGGGCGTTTGAGGTCCGGGACATCGCGCCGTGCGACGAGGAGGACGAGCAGCCGGCGCCGCCGGCAGCGGCGGCGGCGCGCAGGCCAGCGCCGCGGTTGGCGGCCCCGGCGCTGCCTGCGGAGCGGCACGGCGGCCCGTGCTCCCCGTTGCAAACCTCTCCACGTGTCGGCAACGGTGCCGCCGCTCCTGCCGCCGCGTCGGGCCAGATTTTGAAGCCAGCTCCGCCGGCTTGATTCCCTCCCCTTCTGTAGACGATGGATCGTCGGCGTATGGAACACTGGTATGGGCCAACAAGTAAGAGGAAGGGGGCAAAAACGGTGAATATGATTGCTGCCTCAGCACGCATCGGGAGGAGGAGGACGCTATACGTACGGCCCTGGTTTGCTGACCGGCAGATTTTCAGACAGTTTACTGACGGATGAGCCATGTGGCTGGCTAGGTGGTGCATGATGCCTGGAAATGTCTGAGATTCTTCATATTTGCAAGAAGTATGGGGGAAGAATAGCGAACGGAATGAAACGTGACTGATGGAAATCTGGGGTGATGAAGATGAGGAGGAAGGGGTGAAATGCATGTGTGTGAGGGAAAAGGATGGTAGGATAGCATGGGGATCGTGGTTTGGGGGGAAGAGGGGAAACATGGCCCGGAATGCGGCGGATGGTGGGAGGGTAGGCAACTGGGGTGTTGGGCTGGGTACTGTACGCGCGGCAGCTCAGCGGCCAGTTGGGGGTCGGGGAGAACGAGAATGGGAATGCGTTAAGGGGGAATGACGGAGGTAAGTGGAGGTAGAAAAAGAAAGTCTAACCTCCGGTTGTTTGGAGGGGATGGAAGGGAAAATTTCGAAGGCACGCCAGAACGGCAGAACGGTCAGAGCCAGCAGGGAGTCAGCGGTTTGCAGGGGTCAGCTGTAGCAGCAGCTGTAGTGGTAACGGTAACGGTAACGGAAATCTCGTCCATGGATGATTCTACCCCACACCCGACGACACCATCCGCACGGTGCAACCTCACGTGGCATGTTGCATCCTGGCATCCCTATGAGCCACATCACAGCGCAGACGCCATCGACACCGGGAATGCCATGACTGACACCTACGTTCGCTTAGAGGTCCGCATGCACATCACACTTCATGGAAATGCACACACACACACATACACACACAACGCTGTCTCTTGAACTGTGTTTGAATATATATATGTTATAAATGGTGGCAGGACTTGCCGCTGGGAATGGTACGCTTACTCGACGGTTGGTTTAGTAGGGAGGTGCGGGAAGGTGGACACAGCGGCTTGCTCTCTTGTCTCTTGTGCAGTCATGCACGTATACGAGGTCGTGCACGTACAGGTGCGCGTGAGGTAGGGAGAGATGGATAGGGGGAGGCATGTGGTCATTCACTCAACCTGAACAGCGACTTCTGCGGGCCATGCTACTGCTTCCATTCATACCACCACCATTCTTACTGATGTCGTACTACGGGACACGCAAGCACGTGTACGGTGATGGAAATGGAATTACGTCGCTCAGTCGCAGATCTGAGGCAAACACACGGCGAGTACTAATGCTAGTAGTATAGCAGTAGTAGTATTAGCAATAATAGTAGATGTAGTAGCACTAGTAGTAGTAGTAGTAGTAGTAGTAGTAGTAGTAGTAGTATGCAAGACATTTGGGTGCAAGGTGAAGCGCGTGCACATACGTATCTGTTACAAGGCATAACATCGCTTACGCCAAAACGCGGCGTGTGCATGTGTGTGTGCATGTGTGTGCGTACGCATTCATGCGTGTACATGTGTGCGTTCTTGATGGCCATGTCATCGTTATGTTCCGTAAAGTAATAATGGCGACTAACCATCCAGGGAAGATAGGATAAGCAAAAGTAGGAAGAGATGTGTGCGCATGCACGTTATCTGGCCCTGCTCTCGGCATGGTTTGACGCGGTGTAAGGGACTTTCGGAGGAGGTGAAGGAGGAGGTGGGTAAGGGGGAGGGTAAGGGGGGAAGGAGGAAGAAGAAGAAGCGGGAGAAGAGTAGGATGTGCTGAACCCCCTTCCTGTGAGCTGAGGTGAGGAGGTGGAGAAAGGGGACGGAAAGGCGGGGAGTAAGGAGGAGCACGAGGGTTTGAGGGGGGGAGGTATAGTGGGAGGGAGGAATAGCAGGGAGCATGCCTGGGACCCCACACTGCTGCACTTTGAAAGCAGGAGTGGGTGGGGGGGATAAGACGTAGATGACGAAGAAACAAAAGCCAAAATGACATCGGGTTTTGACCCCAGGTGGGAGGAAAAGCCCTTACACGCGCTAGCCCAGCCTGGTCCTTCATGAGGTTGGTGATCTGCAAATCACTCCTCGTCCGTTTCCACATCCATATGATCTGGTCTGTCAAGGGTCAGTGTCTGGGTTGCCCGTTGTTTTGGGAACTGCGAGTTGTTGGAAAGAGCTGTGAGGTCGTGTGTGTGTGTGTGTGTGTGTGTGTGTGTGTGTGTGTGTGTGTGTGCATGTAAGACGAGTGCTTGTTGTTGTTGTTGTGGTTACAGTATTTCCGCCGCCGACGCAGCGGGTGCCCTCACGAGCCGTGAGGCTCCAGAGCACGCTGTTGACGCTCATCAAAAACCTCAGTAAGGAAAGTAGCGATTTTCCTCGGATTGGTATTAAGAAATACCTTGCGCATATCAGTATCTTCAACGTTAATCAGAAACCTATTACGCAACTCAGTATACGCCTCACACTCCATGAGCACATGATATTCATCCTCAACCTTACCCGACGTACAGACCTGACACGTACGGCACTCTCTCGGCCTATGGTGTCCTTTGTTGACCTCCAAAGGCCAACAACAAAGACGGAATTTGGCAACCATACGCAACTGGTTGACCGGCAAATAAACACGCAAATAGCCTGTGGGATCGGAGCCCTCTCTTGCTGGTGAAGGGGAGCCCATCCAGTTATGATACCTGCAAAGCGAAACCCCTTTACCTTGGAACACACGCGGATCACCCCCTTGGCTGAACTGATCCCAGTCACTTAAAAGGAACGCAGATAACCTCTCCAGAACCTCACCCACTCGAATCAACTGAGACGAGTATACATCTACCTTCTGAGAAACGGAGTCACACGCCGGCCACTCATGGCCCAACCAACGCAAAATGATGAGCACTTTAGACGACCAGCAATCCACTTTGAGATCAGACAGAAGAGCCAGACGGAGATCATCTACTAACACGTCATGATAGACCGACCCACGGGACTTGTGTAGCGTATGCATGTGCGGTTGGATATGGTAGTGGAGGAGGTCGCCCATTAATGGGGGACTACTGAGGCCTCCTACTGGTGATGCCGCACCACTGGTAAATAAGAAATAAATATCCATATAGGAAATGCGGGGAAGAGGAAAATAGGGGAGAAGGACGGGGGAGAAACGAGTCTGGTTATCTACTGCCGAAATTGGTGATGTACGGCAGACGCACGCCATGCGTATGTTGTCTGCCTAACAACCTAAACAATGCAAACACGCACAAATTGGAATTCGAACCCACCAGGTATCAACTATGCAGCAGCAGACGGTTATTAAGAGGTACGAGGTCAGCACTGCCGCATGTACGAGCGCCCCGCATGCCTTGTCTGCCGGGTTCGGCAATTTCGACGTTATATCCTTGCGCTTTGACTTTCTTATCTATGCATATCGTTTTAGTTGGCATATCGTTGCAATGATAGTGGTTAGGGCGGGGCGTAAGCGCGGCGATTGTTGGTGTTGGTTGGTGGCTTTGTGGCGATGGTTTACAACTGCTGGAGGGGGGTAAGGGAAGGGAAATTGAATGTACGCTAGGGCCCCCCGCAGGAATTTGCAAGGATCTCGGTCACGTGCGACCCTAGCCACACAACACTTTTTTTGGTCACCGCATGGTTATCTGTCAGGTTTGAAAGCCTTTGCATGCAGCGTCTTCTTCGCAGCTGCCTCTATATCCACCACACAGCCCGCGCAGCATTACTCCACCAGCCAGCGCAGCATTTGTAGCGGGTTGGTTAACATCATGCAGTTATCAAATAGGTGTAATAGCTGGCCGCTGAAAAGGCCTCTGTAGATGCTGGCGGAGCGGCTACTGTATTCCCCCCTCTTTGAAGGGATTCGTCTCGGGCTCTTACGGCCTGTGCCTGTACTACCTCCTACCCTCGGGCAAAAGAGGTGGTCCATTCACGTCACGTCATGTGCCGGCTCACATGCGCCTAGCTGTCTTCAGATTTTTCAGTTACAGAGTCTTAGTGGATCACAGCTACAATTTCTTATCACGATCCACATGAAGATTGTCGTGATTGAACTTGGTCTTCATTCGCGACATCTGCTATTAAGTACGTTTGAATTGCTTAGACGATTCAAGGTTACAGACGTGTTAGGTCTCGAATATAACTGTAAAGCTGGCCGCTGATATTCATCCAGTCGGGCACCACGCACCGCTATCCATACCAGACGGGCACGCAGCAATACCCCCGATGCATGGTGAACGGACGACATCAAGAGTTAGGGCCTTCACCTCCTGGAGGCGCACTGGACGACAACTCCGTAGGAAAGTAGGAAGCACCAGCAAGCATGACGCCAAAGGTTTCCCATCGAATCCGCACACGGAGGTCAACAAAAGACGTACAGACAGGCGAGTGGGGAACAGTAATAGCAACCGTACCTTCGATCTTCGGAAGGGTGGCTACTTACATTACAGTGGTTGAGGTGTCCAAAAATAAAGGGTCAAAATTTGACCAGAGAGACCGGCGCAAAGGTGAAAGCGATCTCCGAATGGGTAACTTAAGTTGGAAGGCGGACAAAAGGAACGGCGACGAGAGGCCTTGAACCCCGAGCACCAGTAAACAGATAGCTAAAGATCCAGCCCACTGATGGCCTAAGCACCTGACCAGGGTTTGTTAGGTGCGGCCAAGGCACCAGTACTTTCACAGCCTTGACACACGCAAACGTTAGCGGAACACGATCCGCACTCTACCGCTTTTCGTTGTATAGTTAAGGAAGTGCGGTTCGTAATTCTTACATAGCACAGCTGTGTAGATTAATACTTTCTAAAGCAGGTATAGCCTGTGTGGCAGCACCTTCAAGAGGACCGCATGAACAGTCACGCTAGCTGCGGCACCGGGCGGCAAGGTAATTCAGTGATGGTTTTCAAAGGCCAAGTCCAATAAAGTCATTGTTCACGACAAACGGTCGTGCACCATTGCGCGCGTAAAGGATCAAATCAAGGATAAAGAACGACGATAACCCCTTAAACACCGTACACACATCACTTGATGCTGCAGGGGGCCATGTCACCCCGCCCGCACGTGAAAGGCCACGCAAGGAGGAAGCAATGACTACGGGGTGATGTCGCGGTGCAACGTGGGGCGCCAACGCAATCTTACGACAGCTGGCGGGGTCAGCGGGAGTGCGAGCGGCGTATACCAAACTCCAAGCCCAATAAGCTGGGCACGAAACACTACTAAAACCTAGACGCTCTGCTGCTGCGTCATTTGCATTGCACAAGCTTTAAGGGTCCCCCACAGTTTCAGTGTTTCATGCAGACATGACATACAGACGACAAAGTGTAGCTGGCATGGCATGACATGGCATGGATGATCAGCAGCTAAGACGGTCAACGATGGAGGTATAAGGTGGGTCCCCACCCACATGATATGCTAGGTAGAGACGCAGATGAAGTCCCCTTTCCGCACTAAGCAGGTCTTCCCGAGTCCAGTCACGTATCCGGCATCCAGCACCCTTTTCTTCGCCGTCTGCCTCTTAACCCCATATTAGCCATATCATAGTACCCTCGATGTACACCTACACCGTAGATCAGTGCAAAGCATGTGTGCATAGCCCCTTCAGATTATTCATCGATCACATACAACCACACGCACATACACACATGATGCAGGGCGGATGCGCCGTACTGCCGGCGATTTCCCCAGCAACCCCGCCAGTAACCCCAACTGCAGTTTCCTCTTTCTCCCCGTACGGCTCCAATCAATTCGCAAAGTGTCGCCTGGTCGGTGTGGTGGATTTAACGCGGGCGGCTTAAACCTCTGCCGCCCGTATGCGCATACCACGTCATATGAGGAGGGAGGAAGATGGCAAGCTGATTTCCCCATCTAAACACACACAGACAACCTAACCTCCACCAAAGATAAAAGCGCTCCAAATGCGTGCCCGGCATCATTTCACGAAAAGCGTTTCGTGCTGACACACAGACATTACATACAGACACCATGCATCTGTCCGGCAAACCCCGGCAAACCCCGGCACACGGCAAAAGAGAGCTTCTGACCACTTTGGCCGCTCTGTTGTGTTACTGCGGGCGGCTGCACGGGGGCCTGCCATTAACAGTGTCCGCACGTATGTATGCACACACGCACGCGCACAAAATGCCTGGCAGATGCTGCATAAGGGAACGCATCAGCGCCGATATCACACACGAATTCAGCTATAGACTTTTAGAATAAGACAGCCTGACCGCACCACCTCCCCTTATTGTTACTCAACGCCTACTTCCATTACCCCCCATATCCGCAACCTCGACAACGCTAACTTCCTTACAAGCCAAGCGGCCCCGTAGTAGGCAACGACGCCCAACGGCTCTTACGGCCGTCTCGGCACATCGGGCGGCCGCTTAGCGCAACAAATCCACTAATGACCGACATTCACTCCCGGCACCCAGCGGACCCCAGACCCGCACTCGAAAAGAACGAAACGCCGGTCCTCTTAGCAGCCTTGGAAGTTGAAACCCCACAGCAGCAGCGCTTCCTTGCGGCTATGCAAGCTGCACACACAAGCTACAGCCGCAGCCCCTGGCAGTATACCCCTGCAATGGAGCTGGACCCCCACAGCACGGCAGCACGGCGGTGTGGAAGCCCCACGGAAATGGCAAGCTAGTTCTGTCAGTCGACCCCACGACAAAGGCCACAGGCTAGGTTACATCGACGAGCCTTAGAAGGGTATGGAGTACATTTTGAGGATGCCTCTAAGTCGCTCCACCTCCTCGCCCAGTCGCACCCGGCGGCCATCCGTCTGGAAATGCGCCTCCGTTTCCTCTTGGAGCTACGCAGCCCGATAAAGTAGCCGGCAGGATGGCAGGGCCGGTGGGATGGAAGGGAGAAACGAGAGGAGGGCTCAGCAAAAGACAGCCGCCGATTCAGACGGCGTAGATGCAGGGACACGGGCGGCATGATCCGCTGGACGGAGGGAGATGGCGAAGCTTCCCAAGGCAATTACTTAGCTGGTCAACATGGCAATAAAGGCCCAGCTGCAAACTACAAAGGGAGTCCTTTCTCCTCCGACTGGAGGTCCTAGGTAGCGCCTTCCGTCACCGACATCCATACACACTCACACGCACAACGTACCTTTACCGTCAACTGATTTGTCTCCGCTACGGCCGCATCCCTTTCCGTTGTGAGGTCCGCCACCTGGGCTGACAGCTCGTTGATGCGGTATTGCAACTCGGCCATCTTGGGTTTGACAGCGAGCTGGAGGATGAGGGTGGGAGAGGCAGAGGTGGAGGTCAGGGAAGGCCGCGGCCGTGCGGTTAAGTGCCCTGGAGGGTTTGGGACTCCTTAGAGGTATGCGGGGATGGGGACGGGAGAGTGCGATTCGTGGCGATATATAATCTTTTGATGGTGGGAATGCTATACAATAGCATCCTCACCTCACAAGAATTGTTGGAAGGGTATAAGTGAAGGGGGAGGAAGGAGGGGATGGAGGTGGTGAGTGCGGCAAGGGGCCTGGATTGATAACAGAATGGGGGGGTGAGGCTCGGAGTTGGGATCAGCAACGGGGTGGGTGGGTGGGGGGGAAATGGGGATACTTGGGGACTTGAGGGATAAGGACTTAGGTATCAAGGGAATCAATTGGCGCGCACCATAGCGCCCCAGCCGTTCACCCACTGCCATTCCCTCCCCTTTTCCTCTCCCACCGACCCGCTGCTCCTTGTCCGCCAGATCCTCCCGCAGCTCCTCCACCTCCTGACGCAACGCCGCAACCTCAGCAGCCACCGACGCAGCGGATGCACTCAGCGCATCGCGCTCCTCTATCGCTGTGTTGCGCTCGCCAATCATCTGGCTGCAGTAGTCGTACAGCCCGGCGTACTCAGCATTACGGTCCTCCAAGTCCTTTTCAAGTCGCTCCACCTCGGACTGCGGCCCCACGTGGAGTGGGGAGTTTGTGGCCGCACGGTGGGGATGGAGATGGAGATGGGGATGGGATTGAAGGTTCAGGGGTACGGATGACGAAGGCGCCGTCGGGCCGGAGGAACAAAAAGTTGGGGGAGGGATCAGGAGTTAAACTTGCCGCATAAGATCGCATGAATTGTTTAAACTGGCAAGGATTTGTATTCATGAGATGATGTTGTATCGAGGAGTATCTAGGCTGCATGAAGGGTAGGGTGGAATCCACCGTGACTTTGACCATTGACGGCGACCTTCGCACAGGCACAATTACCTCACCTGCATCCGGGATAGCTCCGCCGCCTGCTTCGCCAACTCCTCCGCCGCGTCCGCGCGCGCTTTCTCCGCCTCCTCCGCCAAACGTGCCTTCTCCTTCTCCACCGCCACAGCAGCCTCTTCCCGCGCGCGAGCAGCCTCTGCCTCCGCCGCCGCTGCAGCGCGTGCTCGTTCCGCCTCCATTGCGCTGCGCGCTTTGTCTGCTTCCGCCACCGCTGCCAGCCGCGCTCTCTCCGCTTGCGCCACCTGGGCCTCCGCCTGGTGCTGCATCTCGGCAGCCTGAGCTGCAGCCCTCTTGGCGTCCTCTAGCGCGAGTCGCATGGCCTCCATCTACATGGAGGAAGCCGACCAGGGGGAAAAAGGTCAACAAGGGGCGCAAGGAGAACAGCAACAAGGACACCAACAAGAACAAAATGGCATATGACGGAGGACCAAACTGAAGTATAAAAAGAGAGCGGACATTTTACACAGAAAATAGTGCAGTAAAGTAACTACTAACTAAAGTAACTACTAACTACTAAAAAAGCTGAGGAGACCCAAGGCCACGAAAAGAAACGTGACGAAACAAAAGGAGTCCAACTTTCCCCCGACCCCTCTCCACCGTTATCCAGCCCGTTCACACACACGTTTGTATGTGTGTCCCTCCTCCCTTTTTCTCCCCCGCACCTGTGCCTCCTTGTCCCCAAGCGCCTTGCGCAACGTCCCTAGGTCCTGTGTGAGCACCCGGATGCGCTCCTCCGCCTCCCGCTTGCTGCTGCTGAGGGACTCCACCTGAACCTCCATGCGCATCAGCTGAGATGGGGAGGGGGAGGGCGGACAAGGAAGGAACAATCAATAGGAAGCAAACGACTATTGTCATGCCTCAACTTATACAAGGCATTATTATGGTCAAATTCCCCATCACTAAAAAAGGCAAGGGAGGAGGAGGGACAGGGAGGAGGGACAGGGACGACGAGGGAGGAGAAGTGGAGGGAGAGGAAGGAGAAAGGCAGGAGGAGGCTGGGAACGAGTGCAAAGCCAAGGAGAATACAAGCGTGCAGAGCAGGCTGGCTACATGTCATGCAGCAGATGTCCAAGCAGTGAGAGCAGAGAAGGCGCTACGCGACCAATTATCAGGAGCCATATGGTTACCTTTCTCCGCAGCTCGTCGGCGTCCTGGTTACCCGCCACCTGCATCGAGTGCAGCTGCAGCTGCAGCTCGTCCCGTTCCTGAGTCAGCTTGTGCAGCGCAGTCGCGTCCACGCTGGCGGAGTGCTGCCAACTCTGCTGGCTGACGGCGTGGGCTGACTCCAGCTGGCTGTAGCGCTCGGCCAGGGACTGCGGAAGGAGCGGGAAAAGGGAGGGAATGCAGCGTGTAAGGATAAGATAGGAGGGAGTGCGTGATCGCAGAGGAGGGGAGGGAAAGGGAGGGAAGGAGAGAATTACGGAGGCGAAGGCTAGAGACAGGAATCCCATATACAAGCCTAAGGCTAAGGCGACGGGGGGTTACGCGTACAAGTGTGCGCACGCGCATCCGCGGTAATGGGGTCGGCCAGAGATGCGTGCGTGCATATACGCAGGAACAAAACACGAGAAGCAAACAGTACACGATAATCACCCGTGGCTTCTCACAACCAATTTACTAAACGTCTTCATACACCCAAAAGCCACACCGATCCAGACCTGGCTTTCCCGTCTTAGCCGCTCGATGTCGGTGCGCGCATCGGACAGCTGCTGCCGCAGCTCCGAAGCTTCGGCCCTGGCCTCTGCCAAGGCGTTGGATTCCGTGGCCAGCTTTGCCTGGATACATCGCCGGCATAACCGAGCGTGTTGGGAAAAGATACGGCTCAACGCAAAGCATGTAGAAAGGCAAGCAATAAAAGTGGGCATTCAGAAATGCACCCAAGTGCAGAGCGCGGAAAAGTGCAGAAAGCTGGGTTGCGGCCTTCCGCTACCGCGCGCAGGTCGAGAGAGGCGTCCTCTCCTCTCTTGTCCTCCTCTCCTCCTCTCCTAACTCCCACGCTTCCCGCACGTACAATTTCCATATACGCCGTATTCTTTCCTGTAGCCAGCACCCTTCCTACTCCCACCCCATCCCCGACTTTCGGAGGCGTTGGCAAAGGCTGTATTACCTGCAGCTCTCCGATGTGTGACGTGACGTCCGCGGAGCTGGGTGGCGGCGGTGGTGTGAGGCCGTGCTGGCGCAGGCTACGAGCCATCGCCTGAGCGTACTCGCCGGCAGCCTCATGCGCGGCCCGCAGGGCAGCGGCTTCCGAGCGTGCCGCAGCCAGGTCGGCGGAGAGGTGGTGCTGTGCTAGGGTAGCGTCCTGGGGCCGAGGCAACAAAGGTGGAGAACATGTAAAGGGCGGGTGGATGAAAGGCGGGAAAGAGGACGGGAGGGACGAGGAAGGTGCAGGGGAGGTTAGGTAAGGGGGGACGGAGCGGGTAAGGTGAGAGCGCGGGGAGGGGTAAGACAGGGTGGCATGGAAGGAGGAAAGGAGGTGAGGCAGGCTGATGGGCAGCACCCAAAGGGACCTGACAGGGCAGGGACCTGACATGAAAGACGCACCCGCACGACGTTGCTTTCCCTGGCTAAGTTGAGCTGATCCCGGGTTGCCGCGAGGTCGGTCCGCAGCGCCGCGGCGTCTTGCTGCAGCGTCAGAACCTGCGCTGTCAGCTTCTGGACCTAGGAGGGGCAGAGGGAGGTGAGGGACCAGGGTGGTCAGTGCAAGACCGCTCTCTTGCCAGCGGACAGCAGTCGGAGACAGACAGGGTAATCGCAATCAGATCCACTAGAACAGTAGCCGCCATCCGCCCCATACAGTGTCAGAGGCCTCTCAATCTCTTGCGGGCTGGAAACGAACTATGGCGATGCCTTCGCGCTGCGCCACCCGGCATAGCGGCGGCCGCAGCAACATCAGCAGGACCGAACTCAACTCGGGGAAACATCCCCCACGTCACGTTACTTCCGTCTCTCTTCCCCCCATGTCCCTGCGCCTGGCCCTACCTCCGCATCGGCTGCCCGCTTCTCCTGTTGCAATTTCTCCAGAAGGTGGAACATGCGGGCGTTCTCCGTTGTCAGGGTGCGAACCTCCGCGGAGCGCTTGGACACCTGGCACATTGGACATGGTGGGGGAGAGGGGGACCAGAAGGAACGGACATGAGGGGAAACCCGGACAGTGCATGGACGGCGTGGTAGGTGGGCAGAGAAAGATAGGACAGGTTGTTAAAACACATATGCAACAAAATGCACATGTCCACTGGCCCCAACTCCAAGCAGAGAAGCAGCCGCGGTGTTTGGACACCTGGAGCATTTCGACACGGCGACGGTTTCAAGGGTGGGAAACTCTGTGGAGTTGAGAACCGCTACGTTTCCTTGTCGATAATGGAAGCCCGGGGGATAACTGGTCTATATTCAGCCACCGCGTGGCGCCGGTACACCGTAGTTGCCACTCGCTCACCTCCTCCGTGGCCACCTGCCGTGATGACACCGCGCTGTTGGCCGCGGACTCCAGCTCCCGGATACGCCGCCGGGAGCTCTCCAGCGCCGCTTCGCGCTCGGTCAACTGCGACTGCAGCGCGGCCAGCTTGGCATCCTGCGAAGGCGGCAGTGGCGGTGGCGGTGGTGAGCGGATGGGGGATGGAGAGCCCGTGAGCCGGCGTTTGCACCTGTACTTACACAGGGCGTCGTCGCATATAGTCATATCGTTGAGAAAAGGCAAGAGGGCAACAAAAGGTATGGGCGAGCCGGTGGCCGGTGCATGGAGTTATAGATGTGCAGAGGATTGCGGCTGGCTTTGCATGGCGCTAACCTTCTTGAGTTTTATCAACTTATCCTGTAGCATGCATGCATGCACGGTGGAGCAGGAGCCTCTTCGTGCGGAAACTCCAGGGGGTCATTGTTGTGCTGGGGACGCCCAGTCGACGCCCAGTCTGCCAACACACCCCTGCGGGGGGACCCGAAACCCACGACGGACCCACGGGTCAAACCCACCAACTCCTCCCGCGCCTCCCGCTCCGAAACCACTCTGCATTCCAGAGCATCTGACCGGTCCGCGGCGGCACGGGCCTCCTCCAGCTGCCTCCCAAGCGACCGGATCTGCCCGGGTAACGGGTGCGAACATGGAACCAGGGCGGTTACGGATTCAGGAGACCATGGACTGGATTAGCGTAAATGCTGATCTGGGTGATTGCAATTATCTTTTTACTGACACGGCTGCATGGCTACGAGCTAGCGGGTTGGAACTACACATTTTTGGTATTTTTCCTGTCTGCGTCATCATTATCAGTACCCTATCCCCACCTATTGTGCCCCCACAAGAACTCGTGTTCTTGTGATACGACACACATACAAACACAAACCTGCGCCTGCAGGACCTCCGCATCCTCCCTGGCCCGCTGTCCGTCGTACAAACGGCCCACAAGGGTGTCCTGTTGCTTCTGTGCAGCCTCCAGCTGGGCATGCTGAGCCTGAGGGAGGAAGCCGCAACCAGATGGAGATGCAAACGTGGATGGAAATGGGGATTGGGAGGATTGGAGGGTTGGAAGGGGAGGAGAGGGGAGAGAAATGGGAAGGAAAGGACCAGCACAAAGATACCATGACCGGCTGAGCGTGGTTGGCAGCACTCGTACGGCTTGGCTACCACCGGCTTACGGTGCAAACAGCTTGGCCAGGTGACCATTTGGGGGGATCCAGTCTGCTGCCACCTTCAGGAGGTTAACCAACAGCAATAACATTACCTGCAGCGACATCTCCGCCGTGTCGCGCTGCCGCAAGGCCCGTTCGCGCTCGTCCTCCACCTGCCGTACTCGGGCCTCCAGCTTGGAGACCATTTCCCGCTGCCGAGCCAGTTCAACCTTAAAATTTTTAAACAACAACGAGAGATAAATAAATGTTTTTCTGGAAACAAAGAAGAAAGTGTCAGCAAAACGACAAAATCGCCGGTTTCAGCCGGTCAACGAACCTGCAGCGTTTCGGCACGATCCTTCTGGAAGGTGGCCTGCTGGGTCGCCAGCGTCACTGCTCCGGTGCGCTCCGAGCAGGCGGCCTCGCGTGCGGCCGCCGCCGCCGCCCTCTCCTCCGCTAGCTGAAACACAGTACAACGGGGAGACGCAGCGAAGGATGGGGAGGGACCGTGATGTGAATTACGCTCGTCATTTTCACGGCCCACGGGACAAAACCGCTGCCGGGAACAACACGCATAGAGCAAGGCCGCACAGCTACGGGCTTACAACGCGAAACAGTAAAACTCAGAAAGATGCAGAGCGAGATGCACTGCAAAAGCAGTTTCCCAGGCCAGTGGCCATTTGCATATCGGATACATCGCTCACCTTGGCCTCCATCGCCTCCAGCATCTCCCGCTGCCGCCGCGCAATATCGCCATGCTCCCGCAGCCGCAGCCGCATCGCGTCAATCAACGACTCCAGGTCAGCTTGGTGGCTGCCGACACCGCTCTGGCCGGATCCCCGGCCACCCGACAACGAGCCGGTGGCGCTGCTGCTACTGCTGCTGCTGCTGGCCGACTCCAGAAGGTTCAGGAACTCCTGCGGACGCACACGAACAATGACTTCAAGATCAAGTATCAATGCTCATGCCCAAGCCCAGCTGGATGGTTTATATAAACATGGATGGAGTTCACGTTTGTATGATATTTTAGCAGATCGGTGTAGGAGATGCTGTGGGTTGCATCTGGGAGACGCATGGGAAAAGGGCGACAGGCGTCTGGTGCCAGTCCTGAGCACCTCGACAGTCCCAGACCAGCACCCGATGACGGGTCTGCTGCGGCGCTGCTCCGTTCCGCTGCGCTGCTCAGACTCTTGACCCTGGAGCTGCTGTGCTGCTGCGCGCTTCGAATCCCCTAGCCCAGCCCGTTACCACGGCTGGGCCGCCGTCGCGGTCCCTGGATGATTCACAGCCCCCATCCGCGCACCTGCAGAGCAAGCTCGACTGTGGTCCGTTGACGAGCCCCGGCCGCTGCCTGCGAAACACACACACACACACACAGTACACAGCGCCCGAGCGAAAGCGCCACGCGTCTGCTTTCCGAACCTCCTCGACAAACCGTAACCGCAAAGCATTATGCTGGGGCAAACTACTGCCCCGAAGATGGCGGGGAGAAGTAACTGCAGCAGCGGGCTTCCCAAAACACCAACCATCCCGTCAAGCTTAGGGCCCCTGCTGGCTGGTGATACCCAATGTTTATATGCACGGCAGCTCTACCAGTCAGCTGGACTAGACTAGGGGACCTAAGCAGTCCTGCCATCGAGCCAATGCCAGAGATCAACCTAACCCTAACCCGGAGTGACTCAGCCAGCTAAGTCGGCAAGGAGGCCAGGGCCCGCACTAACGAAGGGGGGGCCAAAGGCCGGCCATGTTGCAGCAAACGGCGTTCACGCTGGAGTGGCACAGACAACCCAATGCCCAGCCATCTTGAACCGGTTCTCGCCCAGGCCTGGATCCAGCTCCTCATCTCTTGCAACATTGCACACCTGGTCGGACATGGCCGCGGCGGTGTGCTCCATCTGCCGGCGCATGACCTCCTCGCGAGCCCGCGCGTCCTGCGGACCACGTTCACGTGTAGCAGGGCAGGGCAGCCACAGTCAACGTGTCATGTTCGCGTCTCGTGACAACCTTGTACGTGCAAGTCCTTACACTCGGCATCGACGACAATACAACAACAGTGCTCTGTCGCTGTGCGCTCCAAACACGTTTCCCTGGGTGAGCAAAACCTAGAAGTGTAAAACCCTAAGCGCACGCCATACCGGTACAATTACAGCCGCGAATAGATGAAAAGTAGCCAGGAGCAGGGAGCCCCGAAACAGCACACACACGCACGTCGGGAGACGCCCCTTCCTCCCTAGCGGCCGTCCCGCCACACAGCGAGTGCCAACAGAAAGCAACATGGAAGTGAACATAACACAAGAAATAGGACGTGATCAACGTCATCAACATGCCAGGCAGGAAATACGAATTACGGCGGCAACCTACCTGCACCTGTGACTGCAGGTCCCGAAGCTGTGCCGCCGTGTTGGCAGCCACATCGGACAACTGCAGGTCCACGGAAGAGGTGCGGTGCGGTGCGGTGCGGTGTCACAATAAGGGAAAGCGCCCTAACACAGCGAGCCCACGAGTCAGGCTGTCAAGACTATCAAGGCTGGGTCAACGCAGCTGCCGCTGCCAACCCAGAGCCTTAGGCTCATTACGGTTCTCATTGTCACGACGTCGTCCTTTGTAGGAAACTCGCTCAGTCTTTGCCCGCCTGCTGGCCGGCAGCCGGCCAGGAGGCCACCCCCAGAATCGAACGCCTAGGACGGGCACCCGTTCCCAAATCCTATGATGTCCTCCCCCTGCGAGAGCCTCACGATTACATCCCTTTTGCTGCGGGATCCTACAAGAGGGATCCTACAAGAGGGATCCTACAAGGAAAAGCCAGGCCAGGGAGTCTGGAATGGACAAGTGTATGGAACTATGGACGTGGTCAAGTGGGCATGGCACTACCCTTGCTCCCACCCACCTGCTGCAGCTGGTCCCGCCACCGGGCGCAGCTGCTGCAGCCCTCCTTAGAAATTCGCTCGATCTGGGTTTCCAACTCCTGCTCCCAAGCAGCAGCAGCAACAGTAGCAGTGGCAGCAGCCAGAACAGAACGCGCGGGAGCAGCAGCAGCGGCGTCGATGGCAATCAGAGCAGGAGTCGAAAGGAAGCAACAACGTAACAAAACAGCTACTGGAGGCTGTGTGTGTGTGTGTTTGTGTGTCAAACAGCAGGGCAGCGGGTGGAAGGCAAAGCACAATGGATGGAGGAGGTCCAGGGTGCTCCTAGATGACAAGTCCTCAAGCGCACATGCTGATGTGCAGGACCACCTTATCCTAGGCGGCGCCCCTTGCCCACGTCCCAAGATATTCTTGATCCAAATTCGAGACGTCTCTAGCAGGCCAATCGCGCACTCCCCTGTCCAGGGGGATCCTTGTCCCACCTCCACACGTTGTCGTTCCGCCAGGTAGCGTGTCACCAGCGTGTCGTGCTGCGCCTGCATCTGCGCCGCCTCCTGCCTGGCGCGTGCGGCAGCAACGGCCGCCTCTGCGGCGCCCAGCTCCTCCCTGCAAATATCCAAGCACCCCCGGCACCCGAGCTCAATAATATCTTAGGATTGGCCCAGATTCCGGCCTAAGGTTTCTTGGACGTCCAAGCCTGCGGAGGAGAAAGGCCGTGTCCGCGCCGCCTCTCGCCACGCGCAGCTTTGATTTGCGCACATGGCAAGGAGCTGCACGCTGTGGCTGTCATACGCTGCCCGCTCACGATGCGCACACGCCGCGGACGAGGGCGTCCGAAGCCGGTGTTCACCAGCAAGTCCTTTTGCCTCTCTTCCTTTACGCCCTCTTTCCACAGGGACAAGCAAAATAACCTACCGCTAACTCCGGACCTCCCCCAACGCACCCAGACAAATTCGTTCCTTTGGTGAGCGTTCGCACTGGCCGCTTCCATTGGGATCTTGCCCGAGTCCGCGGTTTTGAACATCCTAACCCCAACGCACCTGCGCGTCTTTTCCTTATTCCGCTGCTGCATAAGGAAGGCCATATTAAGTCCATCCAATCCCACGCCCTCCTCTGGACGCCGAGACCCTTGGCTCGCGCCCGGCGGTAGCTGGTGATGCGGCAGCACATTATTATTAGCCGCCAGCGCGGCACCGCCACTCCCAGCGCCACTGCCGCCGGCGCCTGAGGAACCCATATGATGGCTGCTACTGGGCTTCACCCCGGGCTTGCCATCGCCACGGGCGCTCACCGGCGCTGCGGCACCAGCGGTAAGGCCTAGCGGAGCGCCGCCTGCGATGGCCCCCACCGTCGCCGACGTCCAATTAGAGCCTGGTGGGGTTGACGTCGCGGCTACGGCGTCCTCAAGCCACGCCGCCTTGGGCCCCAGCATAAAGGGTGCCGCCGTACCATTTCGTCGAAGCGGGCCCGAGCCCGCAGCAATGGCGGTGGCAGCGGCCGCCACTGTCGGCGCGTCTCGCCGGTCGCCGAGTCGTGCCATGGCCAGCAAGGAAGAACTCGCCTCACCACCACCGCCGGCGCTGGTAACGCCTGCGCTGCCGGTGGAGGATTCCGTCTCAGGTGTCACCAGGCCGCCGATGTTACGGGTCAGGCGATCCAGGTTCCGCAGCTGCTGGCCCAGCGTCGCGTCGAGGTCGGCTGTGGACTCAGAAACGCCACCGGCCGTGGAACGATCTGTCTGCAGCGGCGCAGCGTGGCCGACCGCGCCTGCAGAGCTGGCTTGTGAATGCCGTTGCTGCTGCTGCTGCAACAGCAGCAACAGCTGTTGTTGATTAAGTTGTAGCGGCTGCTGTTGTGGACGCTGCTGCTGGAGCTGCTGTTGACGATGCTGGGCATCGTAACGTTGGTGGTGCTGGTTTGCGCGAGGGCCGCCCGTGCCTGACGCGGGTGAGCTCGCGGCGCTGCCATTAGGAAGGCCACGGGTAGTGGCCGGCGGCGGCGCGGGGACGTACGCGCCTGGCTGCTGCAAGTACATCGACGGGTCCGCACCAGCAGATGGGCCCCGTACAACCGGCGTCTGCGGCGGCGGCATGGCTTCAGACAGCGTGGCAAGGAACGACTGCAGCATGCCGCCACCGGCAGCAGCGCTACTGGCACGACGCCGCGGCCCGCCGCCGCTCCGGCTGGGGGCCTCCGGCCCTCCAGCGCCAGCAGGGGTCGCGCCTCCGCCACCTTCAAGCGCAGCGCTGGACAGAACATGGCCGGGTGCAGGCGGCACCGGAGCAACAATGCTAATCGCCGGAGGCGGCAGTGGTGCCCCCGTAGCTGCCCCACCCACACCCGCACCGCCATTGCCGGCCGCACCGGATGACGCACTACGGATCTGCGCATGAAGATCTTCGAGCAGCCGATCTGCTGCAAGCATGTCCTCTGCCCGCTGGTGGCGGTCCGCCAAAATCAACGAGGCTGCCGTACTACCGTACAGGCCTGCGGCGGCTCCTCCTCCTCCTCCGCCGCTAGCCGCGCTCACGCGCCGACTGGCTGGGTCAAAAGCCATGTGGCGCGCGCCCTGGACCAGCGATGCCGCAGACGGCGCCGAAGGACGCTGGTCCCGGCTGCCCTGCACGGTGTCAAGTAGTCCGTGGCCCTGGGGCACAGCCGCCCATACAGCGCGGGGGAACATGACCCCATGGGGCCAAGCGCATCACGCGAGTGCTCCGCTGCTGTCGAATCGTTTTGGTCTGACTGAAATTGCGTTTACGCTTTGCTTGCATTGCGCTGCAGACAAGCAGCGCTCTCATGTCACTTAGCTTATTGTTCCGGAACATAGGTTGAGGGCCACACGTATTGCATGACCGCAACGTGACGTGCAAACCATCCCAGGACCAATTGCGTACACGGCGAGCTGAAAACCATCGATTGAATCGGTTAGGTTTATACAAAGCCGAAGCTCTTTTCCCCCGCGCACAAGCCATATACGTTTCAATCACCCATCAGCCCCTTCAGCCGCGTCCTCCGAGGTATATAGCAGATACATGCGGACTCTTTCCGCTATTCCCGACCCGAGACCGCCAAAGCCCAGGCCTTTGCCTTCAATGAATCATTGTGCACTTAAACTCCCCCTCAGGCCAAATCAACGCCGCCACTAACCTGCAGAAGCCCCGCATTTACTTCTGCGAGCATGTCACGCAGGTTTGGACCGTCACCGCTGCTGGTGAGGTTGCGGCGGCCCACCGACGTGTCACGCTGTTGCTCCGCGCGCGGGGATGCTGTGCAGGCGGGGTCCCGTGCACGGGGCGTGAAAGGACAGGGCGTGACTGGGGAAGCTAACACTAAGAAAAAGCCGGAAAAACGACACCCTAGATGGGGCGCACATACGCCATTTGCGGCCATATATCACAGTTGCGCTATGGCGGAGGTGAGGCAGAACACTCGGCGTGCACACATGCACCCAGGAAACAAATCAGTGTCACCTGCTAGTTGCAACCAAAGCCATCGCCATTGTATCTGTGACTCTGCTAACCGTCCTCTCTACCCCACCCCTTTCGGTGCACGCCGGCAGTTGTTTTCACGTACTTCCCCGCCCTCTTTCCGCATGCGACCTACCTTTGCGGGGTGTTAGTCTGCCGCCCAGCATTTCAAGCTTCGTTGTTAACGATTCCACGCCGCCAAGAATCGACCGCGCGACGCCTTTTCCACTAGCAGAGGTGCCCCCTCCACTGGGCGCACCCCGCAATCCGCCCACAATGCTGCTGCCCCCCGCTGCAGAGCTAGCAGCTCCCGTGGATACTGTTGTTGTGTAGCCCCGGCCGCTTGCTGCGGTTGCCGTGGCTGCGGAGCCACTGAGCTTACTGCCCGGCCCAGCAGAAGCCCGTCCGTCGGTACTGCTGGAGCCGCCAGGCATGCGTCGCTCATCACCCAGCAGTCCCTGCTGCTGCTCCTGGCTGCGCCTGGCCATGTTCCTGATTTCTTGGCCGGTGCTGGAGATCTCATGCATTACGTTTACCAGCTCGTGCATGTCCTGAAGGTGCCGCCGGCCGACGCTTACACTCCTGCACCCGCGCAGGTGTACGGGTTTCGTCCACTTTGGAGTCGGACAGCAAGGAAATCAACAACCTTGCACGCTCCTTCGCCACCAAATGATACATATCTTTAGCGTTGCACTTTTCAGGTAAGGTATTTGCTTGTTTCACCCTTCGCTGGCATGGTGCTGTTTTGCTTTGCATGGGAGGGCGCGCTTACGGAGACTCCAACAACGCCATCCCAGCGGGACATCCCGCTATTCACTCTTGCGCAAGAACGGGACCCCCTTAAGATTAGGTGTGGGTTATGGGAAAGGGGTAGGAAGTATGATATCGAAAACACCTAATACAAGAGATTGCTCCACTTTCTTTTCCACGCTTTTTTCCTGCCTCTTGGCCACCAAGCGCTCTGTTTGTGCCATTTTAAGGTGGCGTATTACCTGGGCCGTGGGCTTTGGCCGGTCGCCTGCGGCCCCCCCAAGTCACCGTAGAACGCCCCTGACGCTGCTTGGTGTTGGCCCTGCAAAGCGTTGCCTCCCCCAAGCCGTGGGTGGCGCCCCGAAGACAAAGAGCGTTGCTGGCTGCCATTTGTCGCCGCAACAGCTCCGCGTAGTACTGCAAGCCAACCCAGACGCACAGCCTCGGCGAGATGAGCAGGCTTGAGGGGCATTAACGCGTTCAAGATATATAAACTGGACTTACACTGCTCGATTTGCTCCATTTTCCTGGCATCGCTCAGTCTGGCAGCATGTGCCCAGGCAGACGTCTCGGCCATTCCTTATTAGGCCGTTGATGTCAAATGTCTTTCAACTGTGAGGCATTTGTCGCTAATGCAATCCAAAAAGAGTGGACAGCTGCTATGTGGTGCGTTAACCTTGACCGTCAAGTTCGGGTCAAAGCGTGCTGAATGCGACGATGCTCCAACGCATCGGCTCTTGCGCCATCAGACAATGTGTACGCAGTCATAGAAAAGAGTATGATAACTTGTGCTTTGGTCAGGTCGCATATGAAGTCCTTAAATTTGCTCAAAATGCCCCCAAAGACACCGGTCATCGATGGCATGAGTAGTCGTTTCAGTCTTTACTTGTGGCATCTGAAGCGGCGTATGCTGGATTCAGCGGCTGAGCATAGAGGGGACATTCATGCCGTACTTTGCTTTTGTGAAAGTTTATCGCGAAATCTATTCGCCGAGAGCGATAGGGTTTTCAATTTTGAGTACTTGCCATTATTTTGCGTGGGATGTTCACTGCATGTCACGACAGATTCATACATGCGCAACCGTAACAAGGACCGTTGAGGTTAGAATGTCTCAGCGTTTCCAAGCGTTTCCTCTGCCCCTGAATATCCATTAAGCTCAAGTCAATCTATGGAGATTGATGAAACGGTTGCATGAACGACGGTTGCATGAACTTTCTCGTGACCAACGCCCAGGTAGTCCCGTACGCATGCGAGGAAGAGAACGGACCACCGGAGCCCATCAGGATGAACCCCCAAAACAAGAAGGTCTCAATTTACATGAAATTGAGCGGTAGGCACAGCGTGCCCTAACCAATAGAGCTTCAAGCACCCAGACTCCTTCGCGGGTTATGACACGGATCTCACGGATGCCGCGTGCATACACACTGTAGGGCCAGGTTCAGCAGCTGATGAGCACAGCCGCAATGTTTACCACATCTCCAAAGATTCTTTGCCTGTGGCCATGCTTGGAAACAAAGCTATGAACCGGTGTCTATTTGTGTGGGATTAAGCGAACACATTACTAGTGACTTCAGGCACAAGTTGTCTAAAATGAACGCAGAGTAGGGAGAGCATCCATGGTAGGACTGTTCCTGGGCCTACCATTGTCCCCCATTCTTTGTTGTGCGGGTCTAGGAAGGTACCGTTTAGTCCCCTGTAGCGTTGCCGCGCAGCATTTGCCGCACCTATGATTTATATTTATGCATGCATACTGATTCATAAATAGGTACTATTTGGCATGTAAAGTAAGGTTCTTGAGTTCATGCAGAGGTTATGTACAATTGGCTTTAACTTGTGCTCAGAACCAATCATGAAGAATTGAGGCCCTGGGCAATCCTTTAGAGAACTGGAGCTCACGCATAATGTAGAGAAAACAAAAACCGTACAGGGACTTGTCGTACTTAGAAATCGATTCTGCCCAGGAATGCACCCATGTTGGATAAAACTTTAATAGTGAACAACGCCTTGGATAGTTAGAAAGTAAATCGATAACCTAGCTGAGCAAAAGAAGGAAATGTCTAGTGACCTTGAGGAGGATGTTGGCGGAGAGGAAGAGGAAGTAATTGCGCCTCCAGATGATACTTATGCAGATGACGATTTTGACGGGGCCGCGGGGGACGCAGCGGCTGACGACGAGGTGGGTTTCCTTTGCCATGGAAGCCAACCAAACAGGAACTTTATGTATGTGGATCTGTACTCGCAGCCAACACAGGCAGAGGCAAGCTATGCAGCTGACGACGAATATAAAGAGGAACCGGAACCAGAGCCAGAGCCCTCCAGGAAAGCTGTGACTGACCTCGACGAAGAGCCTTCCTATCAAGACGATTTTGAACAATCTGCAGCTCCTGGTGTTTCGAAGATGCCTGATGAAGACGAGGTGCGTTGGCATGTGAGCCGTGCAAGATGGTCTTACACGATTTTTGAGGATGTACAATCCTTGAACTCGTAGGGCTATTGCCAGATTGCTTTCTTATGCATGACTTTGTTCCTTCGTCGTGCTTCCCTCAGGACCCCGATGCCACGTCCGCAACGATCGACGAGCCAGTGGACGATGGTGTTGCCGCTGAAGCCGGAACTGCTAAACTGCAGAAGTCCGCAAGCGGAGCCTCAAGGACGTCTTCAACTGCTGGGTCCCGCACAGGCAGCACTTCAGCTGCCGCAGCCGTTCCGAAAACTTCGTCAGTTACCAAACCGACCGCCGCGGCACCAGCGCCTAAGCCCGCTGCTGCCCCAAAACCAGGTGCTACCGGAGCCGCAGTTCCTAAGGCAGCAGCACCTAAGCCAACAGCTGCCGCAGCGGCTAAGCCGATGCCAGTTTCACTTAAGCCAGCTGTATCGAAACCGACCGCTGCGCCAGCGCCGGCGCCTAAGCCCGCTGTCCCTCGAGCGGCACCAGTAGCCGCAAAACCAGTGGCGCAAAAGGTAGGCGGATATGTGCGGCCCCAGATTGTCCACCTTTCGCAAAAATATATAATCCTGTGTAGAGTGCACGCAATAGGGTGAAGGCCATTTGTCTTTTGCCATTATCGCCATCATCAAGCCGTGCGCCCGATATGTATGGTTGTTCGCAACGGGTCAATCGCTGGATCATAAGCTAAGCGGCTGACATGGCATGCGGACTCCGTGCGGTACCAGCTACAAGTCTTCCTTGCATCCCTACCTACGTCGGAGGTGTCGCAAGAAGTGGGCAATATCGTAAAGCAAAACGTAGTTGCAATTACTGCTGTGGTATCCCCCATCCTGACCTGCGCACGATCTGCAATTCCCATTAGATTTCGTGGTGGGGACTCACTGTTGCTGTGACATGAGACGGAGGATGTATGACTGAGGATGCATCGTAGATATAGACCACCGATCCGCAATACCCCTCTTGGAGGCTTCTTGGGGCCCGAAAGGTTAACGTTTAGGGTTCATGGAATAAGGTTAATAGGGTTATGGGGATGCAACCTGTCAAAAGGAGATGCAACGCCACCGTGGACAGACGATTGATTCACCAGACAGTTTGGTCGGGACGTTTGTATCATCAGGCTTCACGCGCTGGTATGAAGCAGCTTGGATTGGGCCAATGAACTGGAGAGGATAAAGAAGGAAAAACGCAGCATTAAAACTTGAAGGCTAACCAATCGTTCGTTTGCAAATGCCGATGAAGATGGCCATGGAACGAAGGCGGTCGTGTGTTGCCGGGCAGGATACGGCAGGACATGGGAAAGGCGCTGATGGTTGGAAGCAAGGAGCTTGGAAAGTGATTTGGGTCAAGAGTGCCGTTGAAGTCAGCACTTTGCCGTTACAGCTACACCTAGAGCTAGAACGCAGAAAAGTGAAAGTATTTTCGGTACAGAGTCCAGCTGCTTCGGTGGAATGGAAACCCACCTGCGGCGGCCGCATGATATGGACTCCATTGCCACTGCCTCATAGGTCCTTTCCGTTACCCAATTCCAATGGGTTTAGGAGACGTCAGTTTTAGGGGCCCAGACATGGGAACACGTGTGTACTTTTTATCACACGGCCATGTGGGTCTGTTGAGCTCGGGAATTTGGGAAAGAGCTGAAGGGGCTGGGATGTGCTCTCCCTGGGTGGCGACCTCCCGCGCTACCACTCAAGAGGGTGTTGGGCAGGATAGGCTGGGGCGTGCCTCGGAACCTAGTTGTGGTAATCTTCGTGGTACCGGACGACCGTCCTGTAATCCATATTGCGGCCATGCACGGCCCAGACAAGGTACCGTCCATATACGGGGCCCTTTGAGCCCCTGTAACAATCCATGTACCTTCAATAACTTGTCGGGGAACGGTATGGGGATGTTGTCGGCATTCTTTGGAAATATGCCTTATTCATCTTCCTTTCCGACTATTTCCCTTGCTCTCACGCTCCATTGTTTCGCCTTCCCTTTCCATGAAACCCCTTACACTATCTATTACTTATCTATTACTTACCTATTACTTATCACACCCCCATTACCACTGCCATGACCTTGATGATGGTGGACATGCTTGCGGTTTGGACCGAACTCCTTGGGTCGTCTGTCGTCGGACTGTTCTTTGTTCGTGCTACATACAGCCTGCTGCTGCTGCTGCTGCTGCTGCTGCACAGCCACAACCCGTCGTCAGCGTCAAACCCACCGTTCCGCCGCGCAGCATTTCGCCCCCTCCGCCGCAGCCTCCGGCGCCCACCGGTGTCGGCGCAGGCGGCCAGAAGGTCAAACTGACCTTCACAGGTCCGCCCAATACGCAGCGCGCGGCACCCACAGTCAAGCCCGACTATTCACACTCCAAATACGAGGTCAAGAAGATCAATTCAGATAACATCAAGCTCTGTAATCGACTTGTGGAGATTTCCCGCGCGCCGCCTAATCCTGCCTACAACAATGCGCTGTCGGTGGGAAGCGCGGTGGTGACTGGCAAGCTGGCGCCGGCCAACGTGGCCGCGGCGACGGTGAACCGGCACCGGAAGGAGGACAAGATTGCTCAGGAGAATTTGGCGCTGTACAAGCGGCTGCAGGTGGGTTCAGGCTTTAGTAGGTGGCGTGTTATGCGCTGGGTGTATTTTCACGTCTCCTCCTTCCTGCGCGTTTATCCTTGTAAGCCACTTGCCTGCCAACCCTCCCGCTCACTGTGCATTCGGCATCCTATGTATTCACCTTTGTGGACTTTCCTCTTGGTACTCTGGCGAACTTTGCAACCCAGTACTGGCTTAAATGATTCTCTGTATCGATTGCTGGGAAGGCCAAACTCCGGCCCATTCGTTTCCGTGCAACGGTATTTTTCCCTCGACCATAAAACCCTTCCGTAATCTTGAAATTATTATACTGGGAAGAAAAAACGAGTTTGAACTTTATATCGTTTTGGTTTCTCGCCTGCTTCGTACAGGCCGTGAAGCCCTCCCCAACGATCAACCGTGAGGTCCTTAACAAGGATTATGCCAAGACAGTAGCCTACGGCGAGAACGCCCGCAAGGTTAAGGCCCCGCCTCCGCAGCAGACCGCTACCAATGGCGGTACATCTACCGCCAAGCTCGCCGCCTCCTCTGGCTCGGCTCGCCAGCCTGTCCCTGGCAGCGCTGAGCATGTCTACAGCCGGCCCAGCGCGACGGGCAGTGACGGAGGCTCCCTGGTTGCGCCGGATCACGACGGCAGCGGGACCGCCGCGGCGGACCTGTCGACAGTGATGGAGGGGCCGGAGGGCGAGACCTCGGACGTAGCATACGCCGCCGCCGCGGCGGCGGCACCGCCGTCAGCCGCCGGCGACCTTGAGCCTGAGTACAGCATGGACCCTGAGTTTGACCAGGCGCCTAGTCAGTCGTTCGCAGCGTGATGAGATGACGACGGGTCTCAGAAGGATACAAGGACGGATACGGTTGAGAGAGGATAACACCCGATTCGGACAAGACACGAACTGGGGCACGGACCACCAACCAGCCGGGGTACTGTTTGGTGCTTGCCGTCCAGTGTCTCTCTGCTGGGGCCCGTCTTGTAACGCTAGGTGTAACGCTAGGATGGCCGCTTTGGGTGGCTTTCCTTCTTGCTGTCTTGCTGTCTGGCAGGGGGCATGCACGTGTGTCGTGCTTGGGAACAACGTGCAGGAGCTGCTTGCGTGAGATTCAAGCTTGTGCTTGTGCTTGTGCGAATGCACGTGTGCAGGGTGTTAAGTCTTAGGAAGAACGTGCTCGCGCGCCTTGATTTCCCTCCATGTGCGACCCACCTCCGCCTCACGTGACTAGTATGTGTGTTGCAGTGAACTTGGTTGTATGCCTGCTCCTGTATTTGTGCGCCTATGGCAGCTCCTCAGTTTGAATGGGACGGGGGAGTGTACTGGGTGCCGATAAGGTAAGGAAGAGGGCAGGTGGGAAGTGCAACTTCCTGGACGGATGGACGGACGAGTACATATTGCCGCGTGCGGTTTTGCGTGCGCAAATGCATGATGCATGGCGCAATGCACATGCATACGCACGCACATGTACTAGGCGTGTGGGCGTGGAGAAGAGCTGCTTCAAGCTCCCCGGCGTGTTTTTCCCTGTGTCTCCCTGTGTTTCTCCTAAGAAACTAGCAGTCGCACCATAGGGACCCTGACTCACTTCGTATTTCCCAGACGCTCCACAAAGGGAGGAGGGAAGCTACTACGGACAATATGGCTGGTGGCGCATCAATGCATTGCTCTGCCCAGATTGGGAGAAAGGGTAAAATTGGTTAGCCTTAGTGATGGTGATGTGCTAGTATTTAGATGTTTCTCGTGGTATGGGCATTGATGATGATAGCAATGTATAAGATTACGATGGATAGAGACGACGCCAGAACTTTCCTCTAGCCAACTATAATTTTTCCCCTGGAAAAGCACGCTGGTCATTTTAAACCGGATTAGGTTGGGCGGCACTCGGTGGGTTCTCTGTTACCCCTGGCCTAGGACTTGTGTGGGTCTTCAAGGGCTTCCAAGATGCTTCGCCATACTTTCCCTTTTCCTCACTTTTTGGGCGAGGCCCCGGGCGCGAAGCGCCTTTCGGGGGGCCGAGGCTCCTGGGGTTCACTGCTGTCCGTCCGTCCGACACTGTTCCTGCCTTCGCTTGCAGCCTAGTGCCGTACAACCTTCCCTGCGAAATACTGCGGGGTGACTGGCTGCACCGGGGCTGAGCCCGCTTCGGCATCGAAGGAGCTGACTACCCTAGCTTGATCGACCTGGCGTAGATTGCTTCAATTTGATTCGGCACTGCAACGAGGGGAATATGCAGTGCGCCGCAGCACAGGCGCGTCGATGCATCAGCACGGATATACCGCAGAACATACACTCCATATGTTTGCATGTCACTTCAAGTTTTTTTCCCTTTCCTGCCGGTGATGATACATGCCTCCTTTCAAGTTACAAAACATGGTTTCCGCACATCCGCTATTTTTACGCCAAACCTCCTCCTCACAATCAAGGGAGGATTTCCCCTTTCTGCTTACCATACAGTTTCAATTAAACAACTAAACGGTCACACACCACTCCGGACTACTGGACAACGTCCGCGCATACGCCGTGGAATAGTGTGTGGACGTGTTCGTCTCCCGCTTTTACTCCTTCCCCAGCCTCTTTACCCTTTACAGCACGACAACGCACACAACCGCAATTGCAACCACAGCTAACCACAATAACCCCGGAAGACAACTCAGAACTACCAAAAAAGCGAAAACGTTCCGCTGCTACTGCTGCGACAACATGGAACACGCAAATGTAAACCATGTTAAGAGACCGGAGGACGGCGGTGGGGGGGGGAAGAGAGAGGGAGGGAAGGACAAGGGGAAAGACGACGCGACGAGTGAAGGATGCTCTCCCCGGTATCGCTGTGCGCACCCCGGCACACATGCCCATCCGATACCTCCACGCACATCACCACCATCATCACCGCCACCACTCATAATATCTACCCTCTTGGGATTGATGATGATGATGATGATGATGATGAAACACGGGTAACAAAAAAATTGACACACACAACCCCCAAACTCGAACAACTTGCGACAACATATATGCATTATATGCATACCTAGTTTATAGCCCTCAAAAACCCTTTTCCCCTTCCTACCAAGGACTCTTCCTTGCGTGTCTCCATCACTCCCTCCCCTTCTCATCGCCATTACCACCCGGCTAGGCTGCGTTAAACGCCTTCCGAAAGTCGTGTCCGTATGCCACATCCCCCCCCATCGGCACCCCCAATACCATCGCCATCACCACCACCACCACCACCACCGCCAGGTCTCCTTCTCCTCCTCCTCCCGTTGCTCTTTATCCTGCACCCTCTTCCTTCCTTCCCTTCCAACAACAACAACATCGACAACACAGCACACTCTTAGCAGCCCCTCACGCCGCCACCACCAACAACGACGCCAGGAACCAGCCGTGACCCACCGCCACGCAGAAGGACACCAGGTTAACTAGGCTGCTGATACCGTGCCACTTCCCGAACTGAATTCAGCGGGACGGGAATCGGGGGGAAAGACGGGGAGAGGTGAGGAGGAGAAATAAACACGGTAGCAGGCGGACACTTAAGTATGTAGGGAGCGTGTAGGTAGAAGTAGAAGCTGTAGGGTTAAAGGGGGGAGGGAAGCCGACTTGCGCTATCGCGTGACGGTCTTAACTCCCCCCCAAAACACACACACGATAATGCGCCCACGGCCCGAGATATATGCACGACCGGTGGGTTGATCAAATCTCTTTTAACACCCCCCATATCCAGCAAGCTAGGTAGCGGGCACGATTATCCCTGCATTCAACCATACGACACCGTGTACTGGAACATGCCGTATTGCCGTACCTGCTTGTACAGCGTCGCAATGCGCTCCTTGTCCGCGTCGGTCTTCTCCGGCAGGTTCTCGATGTCGTACCTGCAAAGGCGGGTGTACGGCATTGTGCGAGTGATACTGTGATCCAGACTGTTTTCCCGGCTCACACAACCAATACAACACACACACACACCGAGACACACATACACACACACGGAGGCCCTTCCTCCACCAGGCGACACAACAACAACCCAAGAGAAACCGCCGTACAATTCCCCACCTCCTCCCCCTCACACACGCAAACCGACCGAACCCCACGTTCAGGCCTGGCCCCTCCACCATCCATTCCCCCTTCCCCCTTGTTACCTCTGGAACATAAGGCCCGTGCAAATGGGTTCCAGCACCAGCCAGTTGACCAGCAGCCCCGCCAAGGACACACCCAGGGCCGCGAGAGCCCGCACTCCAGGGGCGGTGGCGGCGGCACCCGCCAGGGCTAAGGTCACCAGGGCCAGCAGGTTGGAACCTGGGGGAGGGAGGAGAGCGAGGGGGCGGGGGTGTGTGTGAGCGGGGCATGAAGGGGGGGAGATGAACTACGAACGAACGAAGTTGATGCCAAGGATAGACTGACGGGAGGCAGAGGGTGGGGTATATGCCAAGTGAAGAAGCAAAAACAACCGCCGATATCTCCAAAAGGCGAAGGGGGCGCGGGATGGATCTGACGGATCTGGAGGTTGTGTGTGTATAGCCGTTTCATGCATGGGCTTGTATGTGCCGCCATCCCCCCCCCCCAATTCGCTTACCCTCCACTCTCTCTCTCCCCCACGTGTGCCCCCACACACGCAAGGCCCCTCCCAAAACCCAACACACACACGAACACATATACGCACACATACACGCACATACACATACGGCCTTCAGTATGTGACCCACCTGCCGTCAGCGCGAAGTACTGCGGGAAGAGTTTGGACTGCACCTTGCCGAAGGTCTGTCGGGGCAAGCTTTTGAACATGGTGATACCCACGAAGAAGGTGTTCCATAGCTGGGTGCCGAGAAGGACGGCTGCGGGGGGGAGGGAAGGGGGAAAGGAGGCGGGAGGGAGGGGGAAGGAGGAGGAAAGGGGGAATCAAATGCGAGAAAACCAGAAATGAACTGCCGGAAGGCGTCCAAAGTCCGAAATCCGGGATTGCTGAAGTACTTTGCGAAGGGGGGAGGAGGGGGTGAAACGGGGATACCGTATGCGCAGTGGGGATGACGATGGGGGATTGGGGGGTCAAATGGGCATCAGGTGGAGGGCCCAATGCTCAGAAAATTTGAGAGATGGGATATATACCAACGGTGGAAGCAAAACAATTTTACAGCGGGTGTGCCGCGTACAGTTCGTACCGTACGACGTCACGTGCAGGAAGGCGCCAAAGGTGTTGGGCAGCAGTACAGTGGAGCCCGCAACCGCGGCAACTGCTCCCAGTACGGCAGCGGCACGAACCAGCGGCGTGTTGACGACGGAGGGCTTGAGCATGTCGCCCGTGAAGTTCTCGTTTACGGGGGGTTTCGGAGCCGTTGCCGCAGCTGGGGCAGCGGCGGCGGCGGAGTCGGCTGTGACGGCGATGACGCCTGTCGGCGCCCCCTCCGACGGCGACGTAACCGGGGCCGTGGAGTTCGGATCGAGGGGGGCTGTGGCGGCTGTAGCCGGAGAAGAACTACTGCTGCTGCTGCCGTTGCCGTCGCTGGGTTGCGATACGGGGGAAGTGGTGGCGTCGGAGGCTGCCGACCGGGCGCGGAAGGTTGCGCCTGCGTTGGCCCGCAGGATGGGGAGACGCCAAGCACTGCTGATGCCCCGCAGGTGCGGCGCCATGGCCGTCGCGCGAGGCCGGGCCACTTGACTGTGTGTAGGGCAAAGGGTAGAAAGACAGTACAGGAAACGGAATCCTATGTATGACAAGCACGACGGGACAAAGCGTCCTGTTGAGCGCTTTGCGCATCAGTAGAGCTGCCGGATGTGTGGTGCGCATCGCGCCACGACCACTTAGGCATATAGGAACAGCGTGCAAATATGATGATGTAAGAATCCATGCATTCAACACTCATGACTCCTTCGTAAGGTTGCGCCAAGGTATTGATGATGCAAGGTCAAGGTCCTCCGCTTGCATAGCATACAAGGTTGCTCCTTGCTCATCAAGTTCGTAAGACTACCGATCTGTCCACGCTGTGTGCTTGCCTGATGCGCATCTGGGTTCCGCTGCAAGCCAGCATCACCGTGACTCTAGGGTTTGATGTTGCCAGGTTGAAGAGAACGTTTATGTTTACGTATCTGCAGCCTAGCAGGAGATCAAGTGTAGACTTTCTAAAGGGGCTAACGGCAAAATCCCTCTGGGGAGGACGACAGAAGTTCCTGGCTCAGTGGTCAAACCATTAAACGTCGCGAAGAAAAGCTTCACCAGTGTTCTCCATCGTGAACACATCGAAACGTAGATGCGTTGCCGCTTTTTCGACCAACTGCCATAACCGACCGCACTGCAAGTACGACCCCTGAAGCCGGGCTGTCCACTACCCGATCGCAACGGCTGCGCATTCGGTAGGAACTCCGAGAGCGTGCTTTTCTATAACCTGGCACAGAGAGTCGCAGGAGCACGGGACGGAAAAAGTCCGAAACCACAAAGATCGATTTTCCGGTCAGCCTGGATACACCGCCATGAGAGTACAGGGTGCTGAGCCTGTAATCCTAGTTTCTTATGCTGCCTCGCTATAGTACAGCACAACGCGCCTCCAAACACCGCCAAATACCGACAAGGGAGCTGCAAAGTTTAACCCCCTACCCCATCCCGTATCCCATAGCGGAGCCTTCTTCATCAGTGAGCGCCTCTCAAGCATGCGCACCACGACAAAATCTAATACCGACAGCTGCAGCTTTGTATTTGTGTATTTCTCTGGTCTACTTATCGATATGTATCGCTGGCATCAAAACAGAGCACGCTATAGTAACAGAGTGACGGCTCGCGAAAATAAGTATCGGTACCTGATCGCAGCTGTAGATTCAAAAGGTCCAAAAGGCCCGAGGTTACTCCCTTTCCTTGCGACGGACTGTTACCACCGAAACAATATACCTCTATCTGCGATCTGGTTTTGGCGGCTGGCACCCATTTGCCTGGAAGGGGCCCAACCTCGGGCCTTTAGAATCTTTTAAAATTTACAGCTGTGATCAGGCAGTTGTCTTTTCTGCGGGCTGTCACTTCCTGTGAGTTGCTCATAAAGTCAGTCATGCACTTGGACCTATAAAATCCGCAGGAGTATGGCCACCTCTCCAGGGGGGTTATCCCTTTTTCATCTCCGGGAATTCGCCCGTACCTCCTGCGAGGGCTGGAGCGCGATTTCCGCGAGCGAGGTTAAGTTAAGAAAACAAGAACACAAGGACCAGGGATTCTCCTAAAAGGAAGTCAACCGCATGGTCACATAAGCATCACACACACAGAGCATGTGGTGGATATGGCGGACGGCGGTCAATGATAACCAACCATTCTGCTGGTTCTGTTACAACCTGACCGAACACCGGGCCAGACACTCAAGAGACACACACCACCTAAGCTGGAAATACCTGCATGTACGTACATGATGCAACCTGAGGTGTTCATATGTTCACACAACCGTACATCAGCAACATGTGCTGTCCGATCTGCACTAGATCTTGCAGGCTTGGGGTGCAGGCATAACAATAACCAGCAAAGCACATGTGGAGAAAACGCCAGCACAAAACAGAACACTCACGCCTCACGCCTCCACACGCAACGAGGGACAAGCATGTACGTGTGACGGCACACAAACCGCATTAGGCGAGGCAATGTGCGCAGTGTCTCCGCTCTCCTACACAGTCTTCTTCCCCAAGCACCACAGGCCGGGAGAGGAAGACGCCGGGACACTTTCCCACCCATTCAACAACATCTCCGCCCTCTTTCCCCTCCCCCCCTGTTACCGCACAATGGTTCCACTCGTCTGGGTATCCCTGCACCCTCCCCCCCCCCTCCTCGCCCACGTCATGACTCTGCAGACGGTTCTGAATCTGAATCCAAATCCGAACCGGAGCCGTAACTGCCTACCAGTGCCGCCAGCGCGCCCCCGCCACTGCCACCACCACCGCCGTCACTGCCCTCCCTTGCCGCGGCCGACAGCGCCACTGCCGGTCTCGACAATGCGTCGCCACCACCGCTGCCTGTGATGTAGTCGCCCTCTTTTGGCGCGTCCTCCTCCTCTTCCGTCGTCCTCGCTGCAGTAGAGGTGTCAGTCTTGGCCTTCTTCGAAGGCGGATCGGAGGCTGCATCCCCTGAAGCAGTCGCCGCCGTCGTCGTTGCTGCCGCTGCCGCTGCGGTCGGTGCGCACTGGGCACCGCTCGATGCAACCTAAGACAAGCGAGCAGCCGCAAGTAGCCGCAAATGAGAAGTAACGCAAGAAGGGTCGGCGGCAGCAATGGCGGCATGGGTTCACGATATATGTATGTATGTATTTCGGGCCTGTACGTCGCTCCCCATGTCCGGGCTCTTTACCATGTATGCATGTACCTGCTGTACACACCCGCCGTACAGCCAGGGAGAGGAAACAGCGGTGCGGTCACGTACGACAACACCAAGACGCGGCCGGTACGTAACACTTTGGTAGCCAATTGAAACAAATCTAGCAGGCACATGAAATTATCAGAGCTAATAAGAGCCGCTTGGAGCCGTACTGAGTTCGCATACATGCTAGCAGGCTGGCAGCACGCAAATCCATATACGAACTCAAAGTACGATGTACGAATGCACGTACCGTTTTAGGTTTGACCTTGATGAGGATGGCGGGTTTGGCCGCAACGGTGGTGGCAGCGGCGGGGTTGGCCGCAACGGTGGATGGAGCCCGGATATCCCGCTGTGCCTTAGATGACGATCCAAGAATCCGGTCGTCCGAGGTGGGTTGGGATGGGGTGAGTGGGATCAAATGAGAATCAACGAGATCCAAAACGGAATCCAAAACGGGATCCGATGGGTTGAGAGGGGACGGGGAGAATTCAGGTAGGTGGTTGGCATTCTCTGATGAAGAAGAGGTATAAGGTCCTACCTGCCAAGACATGCTGAAGTTGGGGGATGGGGGGATTGCGGGAAGGCGGCAATGGGTTGCACGAGGCACATGATTATCATCGTTGTTAGGACTATGACGAAACACCAACATGCGACAGGCAGGGACCTAGAGAAATGTGCCGTACGTGCCGTACCTTGGTTTGTCCTCCAAGCGCTGGTCCGAGTGCTGCCGGCGCCGCCACCCCTGGCCCTGCCTCCGGCTCCACAGAGCGATCCCGCACGGCCTGCAGTCGTACACTGCCGTACGGTCATATCCAGCGGCAAGGTTGGACCCTTAACTAGCTCAAGTTTTTCTTCATGGTATGCATCTTCATGGTAGCCCTTATGTGTATGTATGTATGTATGCATGCTGGTACTGCTACTGCTACATTCAACGCGCGCTTTCCTACCTACCCCTACCTACGATAAAGATTCAGCTCCGTCTCACCGCCTTAAACGCCTCCAACTCCGCCCTCTCCATCTCGCTCCACGTCCGCTCCCTCTCCGCCTCCGCCGCCGCCACGGCGTCCAGGAACTGCAGCTCATCGGCATCTAGGGGCCGGTTCTTACCAATCTGTGCATGGGGGCGATTGAGTTGGGGTGGGGTGAGATAGGGTGGGGGAATGATAAGCACGAAGCACAAAATTAGTCAGTCTGTGCGTGTGCGTGTGTGTGTGTGTGTCGGGTGTACGTGTCGGGTGGCTCCGAACGCTGTCGGGGGCAGGGGGAAGGGTGAAATGGAGGGTGTATGGGAGGGAAAGGGGGTTGGCAAACATTCGGTACACTACACAACATCTAATGGAACACGGAAGGACCAGGAGGGGGGGTTACATCCCGCTGGTGTTCACTGGTGTGGTGTTCCAATAGGTCACATTCCTTATGTGTATTTTGCGTATTTCCGTAACCCATCTCCCATCCCCCCCACCCCCACCTTCATCTGTCGCCACTTCTCCGCATGCTCAGCTTCCTTAGCTGCCTGTGCGTGATAATAAGGGGAAGGGGAAGGGGAAGCGGCTGGAGGTGGAGTTGAGGGGTATATGAAAGAACAGGAAAGGAAGGATTCGCAAGGATTGGGAGGGGGTGGCGTGGACTTGCAGTACGGAAACAGCCACAGCGCATATAGCTGCGTACAGTGCGTGAGGTAGGGGGGACCCGGCGATGTGGGGAGGAACGGGGTGGGAAAAAGAAAGGAAGATCGGTGATGTGATGTGAGGTGATGTGAGGTGACAGCACTCGGAGCCCGAAATCTTAATCCTAAAACCCCGCTCCTGTATGCCGCTTACATTCCTACTAGGAATTCCCCCACACGTCCAAACCCTTCCCTCCCCGTCCCCTCCCCCTTCCCCCCCTTCGAAAAGGAGGCTTCCATCTTCTCCCTTCCCTCCACCATCTTTTCCCTTTACCCCAATCACCCTTTTCCCACTTGCCTTTCTCTCCCGCAGTATCTCCGCCAGGGGCTTATCCACCGCCACCGCCCCGTCGTCCGCGGTAACCCCCCGACCGGCTCTGAGGCTCTCAAGCTGCCCGGCAAAACACACGCACGTACAGACATACATACAGAAATGCATACACATGTTAAGGATAAGGACAAGACAAGGAAGTGCGGGGTTGGAGTTTGGATGTTTACGATTCGAATTTGATGTGGGTCAGCTCGAGTTTATTAGGGATACAAAAAGAAACTACGGACCTGGTCAACAACACCTCCACATTCAATTCCCAGCCTATATGTAAATCCAACTCCTAGGTTGAGTGGGTCTGAGGTCTTTGGTTAGGGGGACGGTTACACAGAAAAAGCATTATGGATTGAAGCTGCGCATTTGGCACGTAAGTAGGTGCTGGTGACGTGAACTGGGACAGACAAAAGGAGCGCCCACTGCTGTAACGCATCCCCCCTTCCCCTTCCCCGCCCCTTTCACCCGCGTCACCCTCATCTTGCATCTTCTGTTTGAATTCCCACTCCAGCCCATCGCCCTAACCCTCTTACAGCATCACAAGATACCCCCGGCTCCCTCACCCACCTCGTTCTCGGAAATGAATTTCCTAGCTCCCAGCGCGTCCATAATTGCCTCAGCCGCCAGGCCCCCTGCCGCCGACTCCTGCTGACGCGCCATGGAGGGAAACACTGACGTCGCGTCGCGACCGAGTAGTTCCTCGCGGTCGTAGTATCGCTCCTCTCTGTATGGTGGTCGTACGGGATCCGTACAGTGTGAGGTACGGGTGCCGCGGCAGGGGCCGAGGCGAGGGAGGCAGGGAGATGAGGGCTGGTCAATGGGTTCTATTGGTTGTCCTCTGCCACTCTTTATGAATTCGAAACGTGCACGTTGATGCTCACATAAGTATTCAAGAAGCCGCCCCCTACATACCCGACCAGGCGCACCATATCCACGCGGCGTTCTTCCGCCATGGCGAGCTACAGGGGATTAGCGGGGGTGAAGAGGCCGGGGAACCCGAGCTAATGGCCTCAAACTGATTATAAATGGTTGCTTAGGCGTCGGGAGTGTAAGCGTGTAGTAAGGTGATGCTTCCTGTTGCGGTGTGCAAACAAAGAAGCATTGCTAAAGTCGGTGCCGCATGTGAGCGGTCTGACCGAAGGCGTCGGAGGGCTTTATCTTCATGTATGCATTAGGATATGGCTGAGAATAGCTCAGCTTATGGCTTGTACTGGCTCATGGGGCTGCAGAAGGCGTTTGCGCTTCATGTACGGGGTTCGCCGTAATTCTGGGCGAGAGTGTCTTTTCCTTGGCACAAACAACTACTTGCAGTTCGTTAACTTTTAAAACTTTTGGCTGCGCTTAGATTCGTTCGCAACAGGACATGCGTTAGAAGCAACAAAGCCCCTTTGAGAATGGCCGCCGACGACAGCTTGCTGCCCATTGCCATCCTAATGTGAGCTTACTAAAGCTTCATATGTTACTTTCTGTCCCAATTTTGAAAGTTTGCGCGGGTCTGGCTTCGGGTATTCCCCATCTTGAGCTGATCATCTGTGCCTCTGTGGCCGCGCTCTCGCAGTGACGAGCTCAAGAGCGATGAACCACTTCGCCGCCTGAACTCTATCAGCAGGCTTGGGCTTATAGCGCAGGCGCTTGGAGAGGAGCGGACACGGGCAGAACTTATCCCCTTCCTTAGCGAGAACGTCGACGATGAGGACGAGGTCCTTCTGGCGCAGGCGGAACAGCTTGGTAACTTCGTACCTTACGTAGGAGGGCCTCAATGTGCTTACCTTCTGTTGCCTTTGCTGGAGACATTATCGACAGTAGAAGAAACGGTAGTGCGGGACAAGGCTGTGGAGTCCCTTAGCAAAGTGGGCTCAACCATGCCGGACTCTCATGCATGCGAGCACTTCGTGCCTATCCTGAAGGTATGGCGTTTATGTTAAGCTTTGCATTGCGGAAGTGGTCTGACCCTGTTATGCCTCCAAATGTTGCAGCGTTTGGGGTCCGGGGAATGGTTCACGTCTCGTGTCTCGGCCTCTGGTCTCTTCGCGACAGCATATCCGAGATGCACTCCAATGCTGAAAGCGGAGCTCCGGCAGCTTTACACTCAGCTTTGCCGCGATGAAACGCCAATGGTGCGGAGGGCGGCCGCGCAGAAGCTTGGAGGATTTGCAAAGGTCGTGGAGCGGGAATATGTGAGCCGGGAGCTTATGCCGCTCTTCACGGACCTAACGCTTGATGGTGAGCACGGCGAGAGCGGGCTGGGTCCGGCCGGTAAAGTTTCGTGACTTCAAATGCTTTTGCAGACCAAGACTCCGTCAGACTACTTGCAGTGGAGAGCTGTGGTGCATTCGCCCTTGCCTTGGGTCAGGCGGACGCGACCAGCAACCTCCTGCCTATCATTCACAAGTTTGCGCAGGTGCGCTTCTTAATTTGCTTGCGCCTAAGTTTGTCTGAAGGGTTCCTTGACTTTTTTACCATCTAAACAGGACAAATCTTGGCGTGTGCGCTATAATGTGGCGCAGCAATTGGTTCAGCTGGCTGAAGCCCTCGGGATTGACGTAACTAGGTGCGTTTTGTTGATTAAGGGTAAATCTATTTGCTGCTTATGCGTGGTGTTAATGTAACCTCGATTTTTCCGGCCACAGCGTAACGGAACTTGGAAGCCGGTTTCTCTCGGTTATTTGCTTCCGAGCAGGTCTTCGGCCCTATGTTAGCATGACGCCAGCAGTTGCATAGTATTTGCAATCCAATGATCATCTTGGTGTGGGCCAGCTTTGTTCTTCTGCCATCAGCGTTGAGTCGTTAATCGATGTCATGCACCGCTTCTAAGAGTTTTGAGCCCTTTCTACTTGTACAGGATCGAGCTCACTCCAAATTTTGTCCGCCTGCTGCGGGATAACGAAGCGGAAGTGCGTGTCGCAGCAGCCGGTAAAGTGTCAGCGTTCTCAAAGCTCCTCACTGCGCAGCAGGTCGTCACTAGTGTCATTCCGTGCGTGCGGGAGCTCAGCATGGATAGCAGCCAATATGTGCGTGCGGCGCTGGCTGGCGTAGTCATGGAGATGGCGCCAGTGCTCGGAAAGCAGCTCACGATCGAGCACCTTGTGCCTATATTCCTGACGCTGCTGAAGGATGTGTATCCGGATGTGCGCCTTAACGTCATTAGCAAGCTAGACCAGGTGGGACCCGTATACAGCGTGAGAAGCACTACGATCCTTCGCATGGTGTACTGGGAAATGTTATCACTTCCGCCGCATATTTGTGCTGACTGATTGCGGCTTGGGGTGCTGGGCAATGCAGGTCAACCAGGTCATTGGGATTGACCTCCTGGCGCAAAGCCTGCTACCAGCTATTGAGGAGCTCGCAGAGGATAAGCACTGGCGGGTGCGGCTGGCCATTGTGGAGCATATCCCTTTGCTGGCTGGCCAGCTGGGGTCGGAGTTTTTCCAGGAGAAACTGGGGCCCCAATGCATGAAGAGCCTAGAGGACCAGGTGGGATCGATGCTTGGGGTTTTAGCCCAAGGGCGAAAGGTAGAGCATTTTGTAAAGGCGATGGTGACTTGCATGCCTTGAGCGCATGCGGTAAGCTCGGCAGCCCGGTTTCCCTAGAACGTTCGATTGAGCAAATCGGTACTGTTGCCTGCTTGTTACATGAATATACACACCCTGTGTTGGCTTATGTCGGGGTAAAGATCTTCCTGGAAGGCAGCTTGTTTATCGCTTTCTATTCGGTCGTCGTTGCCCGTCCTTCCTTGACGTGCCTTACCTCACCATGCCGCAGGTTGCCTCAATCCGAGAGGCGGCAACGCGGACGCTACAGAAGGTCGCCGCACAGTTTGGACCGGACTGGGCGCGTGACCATCTGGTCCCACACGTTTTGTCGTTGATTAAGAATCCACATTACCTGTACCGCATGACGGTGCTGGTAGCAATTTCAATGCTGGCCACCATTGTCAACCAGGACGTGCTGTGCAACCTAATGCTGCCCGTCTTAACAGCAGCCGCGAAAGACAAGGTAAGTGGTCCCGCTCGGCTGTTCCGAGTCGCCATTCTGTGCGTGTACTGGGAAATCGCTTTGGAGCCTGTGCTGTGCATGCCTCACTTGCTGGAATGTTCCCGAGGATTCTGGGAATTTGTATGCATTGTGCCGCACTATCGTATTCTTTGTCCGAATGTCCTCACAACGAACATCAAGGCAATAGGACAGGTCTTAGGATTTGGGATGTAAACTTGCGTCCTTTGCCAACATGCCGCCTGTCGCGACAGGTCCCCAACGTCAAGTTCAACGTGGCAAAAATTATGGAGAAACTTGCGGGTCTTGTAAACCGCAATGTGCTGGAGTCAACCATCAGGCCCGTGCTTCTGGAGCTGTGCGAGGATTCGGACATGGACGTCCGCTTCTACGCGCGCCAGGCACTATACGCTTGCGACCATGGGACTGCATAAGCATCTTAGCGGTAAAACAGCCGCGCATATTCGTGGTTGCGTCGCTGTGGGCCTGTCGGGAAAAAGACATCAAGCGCAGGCCATCCTTGCAGGGGGAGATTGCTGTTCTTTCCTGCAGCAACAGCAGCTGCGTGCTGGGGAGGTATGCCGTGGACGTTTCCAACGGTTTGGAGCAGCTGCGTGGTGGAGGCACGCAAGATGGGTCAGCGGGAGCAAAACATGCCACACGCAGTTGCTGCGGAAACGTCCTTGGCACGGGTTGTGGCACTTGGGCATGGTCACCACAGCGACTGGAGTACACGGTCCCTGTAGCTTTCTCGCATTGAAGGGCTCCATGTTCCGGACTCTAGTATCTTCATAACGTAAATCTACCGTGTGGAGGGTGAGCGGAAACAGCGCTGTTCATTCCATTGGGATCTCTGGCTGCACACGGCGTGCGTTGCATCTTTTCGCGGTGGCTGTCCGCGCACACTTATCCTGTAGTGCGATGGAAACGGGCTGTTCATCAGCTTGTATTTAGCAATCTGAGGCAGGGCCCAACCTGCGGCAGGGAACGTTTGCTGTTCAGTGTTGATGTGATGAAAGTTATTGTCATCAGGGGAGGCTAGCGAAGGTCCCAGCCGCCTAACGTGGCTCCCTGCGGATTCGCTTCACGCCAGTCTCATTGGGCCCTCCTTGTACAGACACTATGTGGTTGGCGTTTCTCCTTGGCTCTGTAACAACAAAACGTGGAGCAAGCTACGAGGCCTGTGAATTTGTGCGTGTTGCCCGCGTGAATTTGTGCAGTTGCTTGTCTTTCTTTTGGTGTTGTTTTGCAACATTTGGCGCTTGCTATCAGCGCCGACGTCGCTCCATTACTGCTTAGGGGCGTACTGTTGCCAAGGGTGACTGTGGGCGTGTGTTGCTCGGGGGGAAGACCCATGCCCGTGCGGAAGACTCGTACAGCGGGGTGCAGCCCTGTACCGGCGTGGCCTGCCGGGCTTTATGCGGAGGCGTTGCGCTTGTTGCGTGCATGTGGTGCTTTGCCACCCTCTATGCGCTGTCGTGTTATCGATTTACAATCTGTATGGGTTATGAAGGCGGTCGGAGAGACGCAAGCTATGGACGGGGGTAATGGGGGTAGTTATGGCTGGGTTTATGAAGTAGTTGCATAAAACAGGCCGACATGCGTGCCCTTGTACATGGAATGTCAGAGCAATATTCTAAAAACAGAAACGCGGACATTTTCGCGCTCAAATGGGCGAGTCGCATGCGACGGAGCGTACATTGGCGGCAAGTGGTGTTGCATGTGGAGTCACTATCACCTAAGGAGCATGTCTTGACTTACGGCAGACTTTTCCCATTTACCTCGTGTTCTGCATCCACACTTGCTAACCAGTTGGACGTTGTAAACGGGTGATTTACATACACCATGAATGATGCCGAAACCCTCATCTAACCGCGCAGAGGAAATTTCGTTTCTCTGAAGAAGTTTATGCCCTCCTTAAGCTTCTTTACGGTCCGTCATTCATAATAATGTTTCTTAATGCCCCGAACGACTGTAACTCCCGCATTCGACTATCGCATTTCCTTTATTTTCCTTGGCCAAGCGGCGGGGTACAGGAAAGATGTGGGACTACAATTGCGAGTGGGACTACGCATGCTTTCGGCTTTCAGGTTATTAGAACGCTTTGTTGCAAAGGGCACCATATGTTGATGTACGTCCCGACACCTTCTGCGATGGCGAAGACACAGGTGACCCGTGTCTGTGTCCGCCGCCCCTTTGAACACCGCGAAAGACATGACGGGTGGTCGGAATGGACCGAACTCCACTTCCGCGGTGGGATGCCCCGAGATGCGAATGAGGCTGTTCCTGCCGAGAAGTCCACGACAACCTCCGAGCCTATGTCCGTAAGTTGTACTCGTAACAGCCCTCCTGTTACAAACGCCGTACACATGTTGTTGTTGTGTTACATGGTCGTGGGTGCGTTCCCCGTACCTGCAAACCGCCCTAATACGAGCCGACGGCTCAAGGGCTGCCAGATCGCCTATAAGCACCATCCTACCTCGCACTTCAAACCAAGCAAGAAATAAAGGATACTAACGACCAAAGGGAACGATAGAGTTGCGGTACACATGTAATCGAAGCAATAGAAGGAACGGTGATCGTAGCTTAGACGGTAGCCTCAAATTGCATGCAGCAGCAGCAGCGCCAGAAATGCACCCTTCCCCTTAATTCTTCAATCCCTTGGCCAGACTGCGCATTGTGCTTTTTCCTACCCCTTCCGCTTTGCCTTCCCCCATCTTTCGTCGTGACACCGGTAGGAGCCAAGAGCGGTTATTCCTGGGAACCTTCCGGAACAAGAAGACCCACATGAGTGTAGCTCTTGACTAGGATTACGTTCCGGCTACTGCTGATGACTGCAGTCATTCTTGCTTACTTATTGCAGAATGCAAGAACGTGGAATGCCTGCAGGCTGACGGGCGGACGGGGGCCTACCAGTCGGGCATTGGGATGGTTCCTAGCCGGACGAGTTACCCGAAACAACGCGTGTAAAGTAACATCGCCAGCCAGGAGTCGGAATGTCCAAGAAGTTTCGATGATATTTTTGTTCTCGCAACTGAAAAGTAGGTATACGTGGCCACATGGGACAGCTCCGTAAGACGATGGCGCGCCGCCGTTATAACGATAACGAGGAGACCTCTACATGGCATGGCCCGATGAGTCGTTGTGCACATACAGACGTCATAAACATAGGCAAAATATTATAATATGCTGTGGTGGACCTATGCAGTGGTGGGGTTAACGGCCTTTGGTGGAGAGCCCTTGTGGAGAGCCCTTGTGGAGAGCATAGCGAGGCATTTAGACGAAGACTGCCAAGTGAGGCATGTCACCGAAGAGATTACGAAGATACCAACAGGGACGCTGGAAGCTAACAGTAGGACGGCGAAGGTGTGTGGCACTGCTGAGTACTACAGTCGTTTAGCATCGAAACATATACCCATTACACCACCTCGACGCGGCTTCACTAAGATTTCCATGTAAGGCATTTTGAATTGCCTTTGTATCAACAGAAACGCCATTTTGGGCTTCGAGGGACACGGTTGGATGCAGCTGCAGAAATATACTCGAGGTTAATAATAAGTTATCTTGTGTAGCCGTCAGCGCGTCCTGATGTATTGCTTTCTTCTCTCTGAAAATGCACGACTGTCTTAATCATGCTCCGTACTCATTCCTAGTACTGCCGAGCTGTTGAGTCAACCTCAATCCTTCAGCGGATTTGCAGGCTAAGAAAGATAATATCTATCGAAAGAAGCCATCCTTATTGTAACAAAGAGAACTGTGCTATGGCGTCGCGTTCGTATGCAAGCGGTCATGTTGGAGCATTGCTTGAATGCAATCTTAGGTTACACCCAACCAGCTACTGATAAAACCTGCAGCGATTAAGCGTATCGGTATTGTTGGCACCTTGGTGTATCCTGCTTGTATCCTCATTTTCCATCTATGCGTGCATTGCTTATTCCCTATAGTATATAGTGTATGCGCTGAGTTTGTATTCCTTGTCGCCACGCAAGAAATGTGGTGCCTTGGGGCCTTTGTGGCCAGCTTGGCGCTGAACGCCTTCATATTTCTTCTGCTGTAAGCGGGATAATGGGTTATGGGTGTTACGGTATTGAAGAGGAGCAGCGCTGTACTCAGTAGCTTGGAGCGCGCCTGATTGTGTTCATTTCAGGGAGCTCCTGCTGCCGTCCTTTTCTTGTCGCAGGCGTACTCAAGACCCAGGGAGTGATAATACGTGGCGTCTTTCGTGTGCAGTCTTGGCTCTTCACATAGCCGGCGCTCTGCAAGTTTTCATCCCAAGGTGCGAAAACAAAGAACATTTGCTCGCAGGCAAGTTACTGGACAAGTACACATAGCTGCACTCGTTTGTATGTCCTGATGATTGCAAAAAGCCATGGTGACGCATCTATGCCTAAGCTCTCTTGCAACTCGTTTACAAGCTCCCGCCAGCGTGGGAAAGCGACCGTCCTGAAAAATACTTCAACGCGGGCTGTGATATTGGCGCGTCAGCGCTGGCTGCGTGCGTCCAAAGTCGGTCTTGAGTCGAACGACCTGTACAATCATGTCGCTTCAACGGTTTCCTCTTTTTATCCCTCCCTTGCGTAGCGGAGCTTATGCATATCTACAATGGGCATGCAGCGCGCCGCTACTATCCTGGCTTTTAGCCCAACTCCTGGGCACATTACCGCCAGGATGCGGCGTGCCATCCGCACCACGACTTTACCGCTTGGCTTTACTCGAAGTTGTCCTGTCACTGCTGGGACTAGTGCTTATGGTGATGTTCGAAATGCCTATGGGTAAGTGTCAAGTGGTTACATTCCAAAGGGGAGAAAAGGGAGAGGTAGCCCATTGCTTCAGGCCGGGCTGAGGTGGAGGGGGAGGTCAAAAGCGCGGTTGGTTAGCTTCCGCGGCGGCCGGCTTCTGGAAAGGACGGGACAAGAAGCGCGCCATTACCGAGTGAAATGGCCTCCTCTCCCACGCGCAAAAAGGGGGAAGCGGTATAAGAAAAAGGGGCGAGGGCGGTAGGGGTTATTGGAAAGAGGAGATCGGCCCCGGGAGTAAAGCAGCATCAGCTACCCGGAGGCATCAGCTCCCGGCAGCTCTCCCCTCCCTCCTCCACCCTCCTCCACTCGTTCCTGGTTCATGCATTCCCTCCTTCACCAAGGAGACCTTGACCTCTCTTAGACAGGACTCCGCATACATACATACATACATACATACATACATACATACATACATACATACATACATACATACATACATACATACAGAGGTATATACAATCTGCCGTGTCTACCTATACTGCCTTGTCCTGCCCTACCCCCGACAAAGCTACATTACATCCCACCCCGGCAATCGTACATGATGCCCTCTTTTCCGCCTAAACCCTATCCTCCCGCTCCCGAACCCCCAACCAATTCTCACAGTTCGTACGGCAGCGGGGATCGTGTCCCTGACCGTGCTTTTCCTGGAGCTGTTACCGCTAATGCCTCCGCAGCTCCTCCCCTATCTTCCCTACCTCGTCAACCAAGCCACCAACACCAACTCCAACTTCGCAACCAGCGCCGCAACGGCGACAGGCAGCAGCGGCGCCCAGGGCAATGGCGCCGGCGCCGCTGCTACTGCCGGGAGCAGCAGTAGTCTCCTGGGCTGGCTGGCAGCTCTGGTCCCCCCGGCTAGCGGCAGTAGCAGCAGCAACAGCAGCAGCAGCAGTAGCAGCAACAGCGGCAGTAGCAGTATCCACGGGAGTCCGGGGGGTGTCGGCGGCGGCGGCTGGGGCCCTCGGCATATGCTGGCGCCAGCGGCACAGCCGCGAGGTGGTGGTGCCAGCGGCGGCGGCGGCGGCGGCGGTGCGCGCAACCCCGGCAGTGGTGGCGGCGGCGGTTGGGGACTTGGCGGCTTGGCGGCGGCGGCGGGGGGTGTTTCCTCCGGTAGTTGTGTGCAGCCGCTACCCGCCCCTATGGAGATGTTGATGTGTGCGATGGCGGGAGGGAAGCTGCTTCAGGT